TTACTGAAGTGTATTTTATGTATATGAGCCAGGAGATAACAAGCAACAAAGCCATAGATAAAGCATTTCTCTTTGGAATATCGATTTTACTCAAAGATAACATGAAACATCATATTAAAATAAACACTGGCTACATGACAGAGTACAATTTGGAGGCAAGCAAGACTAAAGCACTAAGATGCGGCCTTCAGAGCCAGACTGCCTAAATTCAAGCCTGACTTTGTCACTTAGTGGCTGAATGACTCGAAGCAAATTACCTAACTCTCTGTTTCTCTTTCTTCTTTTGTAAAATGGGTGCTATTATTGCTTGGCTATGGTCTGAATGTGTCCCCCAAAGGCTCATATGTTAGAATCTTGGTCCCTGGTGCAGTGATGTTGAGAGTTAGAAGAAACATTAAGAGTCAAGGCCTACTGAGAGGTCTTCAGAGGTATGAGCTTTGGAGGAAATTAACGCAATTCCTACAGAGCCAAACTAGATTCTGTAAGGATAAGTTGTTATAATGGAGCCCAGCAACTGCCCTGAATCCTTTTTCTGCATGCACTCCCACCACTGTGAAGGCATTAGCCATGAAGTCTTTGCAAGAAACAAGCAGAAATCAGTATCATGCATATAAGCTGCTAGACTCTGAGCTACATAAAACTGTTCTTTATAAAGGTCCCGGTCCCAGGCATTTTGTTATAGCAACAAAAATCAGAGTAAGACAAGTACCTACTAAACAAATGCTTAGAAGAAGAGTTATACATAGTAATAAAAAAAAACACTTAAGATCAAACCCAGCATATACATTTTTTTAAGTGAGAGCAAATATCATCATCATCTTCAGTACTGCCACACAATGTACAGCAATACAGAATAATGCTTAAGAAAACAGAATCTGCACACAGATTCCCTAGCAATTCTCTCTGGTCCATTAGTTTAAAACAGCATAGGTTTAACTTCTCTATCTTCAGCTTATTCCTATTAAAAAAATAATAATCATATGTCTTTCTTATTTCACAATATTACTGTAAGAGTAAATCATATTTTGTAGTTTTCTCAAGTTTATCTGATTTCAATCACTTAAAACATTAAAAACACCTACTTCTGGGTACTATCTTAAGACTACTGAATCAGCATCCCAATTAGAAAGCCTGAGAAAACTATTTTTATGAGGCTGTTACAGTTGATACATTGTTTCAACTTGAGTTTAGAAGTTTAACTAAACAACTCAGCGGGAAGCCAGGATCCTTATTTTGTAAATAGCCTCATCCTGTGAAAAGAGGGGCCACAGAGACTTTTGAACCATGCCAGGGGTTCAATATAAGGAAGGAGAAGCAGCTTGTTTCCCCTTTTTTGCTCTACGCCATGCCTTTGGAGCCAGCGGATTATGGGCTGAAACCTCCACAAATGGTTAGCTAAATAAACCTTTCCCTCCTTCATTTTGGGTGTCAGGTGGTTTTGTCCCAGAAAGAAAAGTAACTAAGACAGGTACCTCCTCTGAGTCTTAGAATCAGACAAGAATGGAGACCACCAAAATGACAGTGTTACCCTCTCACACAAACATACCCCTGCCAAATTCTTATGTTCAAGTCCTATCTCAAACAATAGTAAACAAGTGGCCTTCAGAGGTAATTAGACGTAGATGATGGGATAGCACCCTTGAACTCTCTTTCTTTCCATGTGATGAATTGGCAAGAAGATGGCCATCTGCAAGCCAACAACAGTCCTCACCAAAACTCAATCATCTCTATCACCCTGGTCTTAAATTTGAAGCTTCAAGAACTATGAGAAATAAATTTCATTTAAATCACTTGTATTTTATTTTATTTTATTATAATTACCTGAACCAAAATAGTATGTATGAGGATTAGCATAAACCACGACAAAGAGCATCCACGACAGAGCTGTTAACCTTACAATCTGTCTGAATAGTCTCCAAAAGGTTCAAATGTCCAGAAGAGATAGTACTAGGAGAGCAACATACCTGACTTGCAGTTAGGAGACAGCCAATGCAGGTGGATCACTGGAGGCCAGACCTAGAGGGAAGTATCTGCTTTCCCAGTTTGTCCTTTTACTTTCCTTGCTTTCTGGTCACCATGACATGAGCACTTTCCTCTGCCAGACCTTTCCATCATGCCATTTTTGCCTTGGATCCAAAACTATTACTGAGAGCCAAGACTATGAACTGAATCCTCTAAAAATCATGAGCCAAACAAACCATTCTCCCTTTAAATAGTAGATGTTGGGTATTTTGTCCTAGTAACAAGAAAGTGATTAAGACATTCTCCTTACCCTAGCAAAACTTTATCCTTACACAGTGGCAAGAGAAAATTCGCCCTTCCATAATTCTGGAGTACTTTACTGGGGAAAAAAAAAATCAATGGCATAGACACTTTTCTCAGTTCCTTCATATACAGCTAAATATTTAAGTCAAAGGCAATCCCTTCTTTCTTAGGACTAATGGACCTTCAGTGACATGACATTACTATTTGAAAGTCGCTGAACTTTGTTAACCACTGCTATCTTGCATGGTATTGCCAGTGCTTCAAAACAAACTGATTCTCTATCTCTGTAACCCCTGGATCTTAATACTTGCATTCTCTCCTTCAAATGCAATATACAACATTGGTTTAAGACTTTATTCACCCTATTCCCATCATAAGAATACCTTCACTTCTCTATCTATATAAATTTTACCCATCTGCTAAGGTCTGCTTGTTTGTGCCCTTCCTCCACAAGTTTATATGGAGAAACCCGAAAGCCAAGGTGATGGTATTAGGGATGATGAGATCCACCTTCTTGAATGGTATTAGTGTACTTTTATAAGGATTGCTCTAGAGAGCTCCACTGCCCATTGTTGTACTCATGGTTTACAGGGGAATAGATTTAATATAGGACACAAAATTTATAAGATTGTTTTTATAATATTCACCCAAAGACTCAAATGCAAAATAATGCAAAATATCTGAAAAGCACTAGAGACCTAAAGAATCCAGCTGGGAGCCTGGATCCCAGGGCAAGGTCCTGCCCAAGTCCACCTAAAGACCTAGAGCCCATGGCAATGTCCCCCACAAGTCCAGCTGGAGGCCTAGAATCCACAATAATGTCTCTTGCAAGTCTGTATGAAGGTTCTGCACCAGGAGGCCCCAAAGGTCAGTGGTAGAAGCTAGGAAGTCTGTGTCAGTGGGGTGAAGGATCTGTGCCAGTAGGCTGAGGGACATGCACTTGAGCCAGCAAGTGACAAAGTAAGGAGCAGAGCTCCCTCAAAGAGAATCACAGCCATCCTCATCAACAGAGAGGACCTGAGTTCTGACAAAGACAAGAACAACTAAGTTCATGTCAGGAAAGCCACAGCATGACAAGGTTCTCCAGGACAGTCAACAGCACATCACCTTCCACTTCAGTTCTGTTATGCCGTTGGAACAACCCTCAGGTGGGCCTTCCACACCTAGCACTCAGTTCATCTGGGTGTTACAAATTGACCACTAGTTAATCTACCACACCTATCCACAGCAAGATCTCATTTATGAATCAGAATAGAGGCCCTCACCAGACACCAAATATGTTGGCACCTTGATCTTGAACTTTGCAAAAGTTCTCCGAAGTTATGAGAAACAAATCTCCATATTTCATAAACTACTCTGATTACAGTATTTTGTTATAGAATCTCAACAGATGGAGACTCTTCATTCATGGCTTAAAGTTAGTGATTCTCCATTGGGGAGATTCTACCCTATCCCCAAGGATTATTTACCAACATTTGGAGACATTTTTGCGTAAGATTGGAGGGAGCATACACACTAAGTTCTAGCTGGCAGATACCTGGGATGCTATTAAGCAGCTTACCATGTGCAGAACTGCCTCACTACAAAAAATTATCCAGGTCAAAAACTCAACAATGTGGGCTGGGGACTTAGCTCAGCAGCGTAAGCGCCTGCCTGGCAGTGCAAGGTAGTGAGTTCAATCCCTAGTACCCAAAAACAAAACAAAACAAAAAAATCCAACAATGCATTAGTTGAGAAACACTGATTTAAATCAACCTCATGTTAGATCCCTCCTCAGGCTACACTGATCTTTGTTTTCTGTACCTGTAGTCTCCAAGTTACTCACGACAAAGCAGCACATTTCTTGAGTTCTTCCCTAGCATGTTATCTGGACTTCTCTGAGAAGCCTGTAACAGTCTCTGTCGACAGAGCTAATTATCAACGAAAATATAAAAATTTTTCTCTCCTGTTGCATCTTCTTATGCTTCTGTATAGCAACATGGCAGGCAGACAATAAACACTTTGGGGGCAATATGCTGACCGCCTTTAAATCCACAGTAACCGTGTATAAATTCTGCCATAGCTGTATCTTTTTTCCACAGCCAGGATATATCCTTCTCTCTGAAGCCTACACTTATTCATGTTTGTTCCCCACCTTACGTCTCCATTATCTCACACACACACACACACACACACACACACACGATTTCTAAAACTCACACATTGCTCACATGTGCCACTCCTTCACCCTCGAAGCACCCTTAACTAGAATGCCCGCATACTCCGGATATAAATCAGCTTCTCATACAAAACAGGCAATAAGACTTGTTGGAAGTTATGAAAATGACAGCAGCAACAAACACCACCGCTTCTAAGTCCGCTACTCCGCGCCATAAAGTGGTGCCCGGAGGCTTCGCTCTCACCAGTACTGGTCCTCCCATCAACCTACTGAAGGGAAAAGGAATCTGAGGGCCTGAGAGTTTATTTGAAAGACCTGCCATGTCCCAGTTCCTACAGCTAATTGAAACCACATTCACTTCTAGCAAAGCCTTGTCTTCCCCACACACTCTCAGCGCTGAAGGGTGGGAAGACGGCACCTGGGCGAGCGGGAGAACTGCTCCGCTCCCCCGACACCGCGTGAAAAGGTCTAGCACCACATCCCCGCCCCGCAGAGCGCCCCCAGCGAGGCGGCTACCCCGCCACGCTCCCCCCCCCCCCCAGCGCCACCGCCAGCTCCCCTTTACCCGGACGCCCACCTAACTCTGCCCGGCGCACCCCGACTCCGCCGGCCAGGATCCAGACAGCTCTCCTCAGCTCCTGAGTCTGCGCGACTACAACGCGCGCGGGCTCTTGCGTCATCATCCCTCGCCCGCGGGTGGTCACATGACGCTCCCGCCCTGCCGCCCTTCTTCGGTCACGTGACTGCAGGGAGGCAAGGCGGAAGCCAGACCGGCCAACCCCTAAGAGCTGGGGCCTGGAACTGAAGGGGATTCCTCCGCGGAGGAGGAGGAGCCAGCGTGTGGACCCCGCGGGCCTCCACCGGCCCTGTGCGTGCGCTGCCGCCGCGGGCTCTCTGACAGGTGAGTCGGGGTTGCGGGCGCCTCTCCTTCGCGTCCCAGTTCGGTCCGCGAGCTCCACGGGGCAGCGCGGGCCCAGGCAGCTTCACGCGCTGTCTGAATGGAGGCCCAGAATGAAGGATTCAGGATTTCTTGGGACTGGGGGCCGCCGCCCGGCATCTCACATCCACCTTGTTAAAGTGATTTTTCAGTTTTGACGCTTTAGGAGCGGGGTTCAGCTGCTTGACCCGCATCTGATCCTTGCGAGTTTCTGGGAGCAATGATGGATGGATGTTGTGGTTCGTTCATGTACTTTTGAGAAAACTGAGTGGTTATTGAGGGCTTCCCTCCAGGCCCTAGTTTGGATTATAGTTTTGTCATGGGCTGAGTGTTTGGGCAAGTCTTTTCTCCTCTCTGGCACCTTCATTCTCTTGCCTGTGGTAGAGTGATGCTAAAGACCATTGCATTTCCCAGAGTAGGACAAAAAAAAATATATATATATATATATCCCAGGTCCTGATTCTTCTCTGGTTGCACAGGAAAAGAAATAAAAAGTGCACAGAATTTGCAAAGAAATCTAGTCTCTCGATTCCAAGCGCGTGGAGCTCCCCCAATTTAGACTAGTGGTAGAGAGGGAAGGAATACTGAAGAAGAAGTGTTACTGCCTCTGCCCACAAGGAGGAAAGAGACCACCTTCCCTAGTTGTTCTTCCACTCTTTTACCAAGATTTGTGGATTAGACTAATCAGGTGCATTTCAGAACTTTTGTGGAGGAAATAGGATGCTCACGTTTATTTTGTTCAACAACTTTTGTATAATGGACTTACGAAGACCAACTGCTTCCGTATTTATGCAACTGAGGTTTTAGGAAAGGATAAAAACAGGCATGTCTTCTAATGTCCTCTGAATAAAGCCAATTTAATTCCCTTAAGAAACTTTGTTTTGGGGCTGAGGATTTAGCTCAGGGCGTGAGCGCATGCTTGGCAAGCACAAGGTCGTGAGTTCAATTCCGGGTACCCCCCCCCAAAAAAAAAACTTTATTCTGTACTTACCTGATGTGATGCCAGCTTTGTTCTTGAAAGCATATTATCTTTTGAATAGGATTACTTTCTAAACTGAAAAACCACAATGCCATATCAAAATTCCTAAAAACGAAGTGGTTATCACTTTATACTTTGATGGATTTGGATGTACTCTCTGGTTCTATTTCATACTAGTGGTCATACAGTATAAACTTTTGAGAAGACTAGCCTTAATGAGTTTCGGTCATCCTTTGCACCAAACAGCTCTGAAAGAATGATTAAATACTGCTTCTTCTGTAGTGTTATTTGCACCTTATTCTAGACTTTTTTTTTAAGATTCACCTGAGACTTAATACCTTTAAATCCTTCTGCCATGCTCTTAGGTCTTTGCAACGTGATTACCTATCTTTAATGACCTTTACCTACTTGATTCTGTTCTTAAGGGCCAGGTTTTCAGCCAAAAGTAGGGCAATTTTCCAAACTCTATAGTAGAACAGTACTTGTACAAGTTGTAGAAATTCGGCTTGTTACATAGTAACTATAACTAGCCAAGATTAGAAGGTCTAGTACATAATAATGTAACTAGTAATGTAACAACAAAGTGTGATAATGTAACTAAGTGATTTCTTTCAGATAATCTGGTTTTAATATATTCAGAGAGATGTTTGCATTATTAGAGATAGAAAATTATTGTTCTTCATGAAGCAAGGCAGATCATAGGCAGTGAGTTCATTTCACTAAAAGTATATTAAATATAGCCCATATTTTGGTTTTACATTTAAAAATCCCACATTGAATATTTGTTTTCCTAGAATTACACATGAAGCAATCAACCTAGATAACAGAGACCCATGACATTTTTTTTACTACTGCCAAACATGTTTGATTACTTTCTTACTCTCCTAATGTTCTTTTGAAGTGATCTATGGTATAATTCTTGACTGAGGATTAACATAAGACAAGACATTGGTTTATATCATCACCCCAGGCCTAAGTTTACATGATGTGTACCTGTATAAGCTGTGCGTCTGTTTATGACAGGGGGAAGAAGGCAGGTAATGTTTCACCCTGTGCTGTTTTCTCCAGGTGCCCTTTGCCTACCTTGACATGGGGTCCAAAATCCAGTAGTAGTTATATTACTGGCCAAAGCAACAGAGGCTATATTTTCAGGTCAACAGGGAAATTATTTGTTCAAAGCTAGCTCTGAGGAGTTGGAGGGACCCATTTGCTTCAAATCGCCTGTCCTTGTGTACCAGCAGGTAAGGGTCCTCTATAGTGAGGAACAGGGGAGGGGAGCACAGAGAGCTGGTACAGATCTTTATTCTTGCTTTACCACGTCCAGCCAACTCTGGTTCATTCTTCTCTCTTTGGGAAGAAGCCTGGGTTCCTGCTTCCTGGAGCATCTGCATATCTTGTCACTTCTTTTAAGCCGAGGGAACCCAATGTGCTCACCAGGGGAAACTGGAAGAAATTATTTAGCCTAAAAGAAAAAAGCTCTTTTCCACCTCATATCAAGACTTTCCCGTCTGAGCTGTGCCTCTCCACTTTGTAACCTGTGATCTCTGTGACAGGATGTATAGACAACTTCCACGGCCGCACAGGGCTCCCGCAGAGCAAAGGGCCATGTTGCCAGACTTGACATGGGACTTCAGAAGAGGAAGTAGATTGTTGTAGCTTAAGCCATCCTGCCAGTCATATTTTTATCAAAACGTCTTTTTTCCTTTTTGGGGGGGGGGGTCCGAACTCGCAACCTTGCACTTACCAGGCAAGAGCTTGTACTGCTGAGCTAAATCCCCTGCTGTGCTTGTAGTATTTTTGTATGGCAGCCTTGTGAATGAATACACAAGTTCAGACTCAAGGGGAGGGGAAAGAAGGTCCATTCTTGCCCTTGAAAAACAGTATGAGCTAACAGATGGATTGTCGGACCCCACTTCAGACTCTAGTTACTACAGTTGGGTGGTGAAGTTAGTTTCCTAATGTGGGGTAGGAAAATTGAGTTGTCCAGGGGAAGGCACACAGGCCTGAGGAGTGTGAAGAGCTAGCAGAAAATGAGACACCACAGTACAGTCAGCTGAGGAAATACATTACCTACTTCCAGCAGCTTCTGGCTTTTCCAGTCTGAGGAGCTGCTAGTTTTAGCGAGCTTCTCCTGCTCTTTTCTCATTGCCCTCTCTTGGCTGTTGTTCTCGCTGGCTTGGGAGGACACGAGGCAGAGGGTGAGGGCCGTGCCATGAAGCAGTGTTGTTGGCTGATCTCTGGGAGGCAGAAGAGGCTTAAGCAGACCCAGACCAGACAGCTTGGAGAGGCTCAAACATTTGGATGTGTACACCAAACAATTCCACATGGATTAAAAGAGTTTTGTTGCTTGGGTTCCCCCATCCCATGAGGCATTGCTCTTTTCCTTTTTACTTGGCTGCTGCCTCTTTTCTCCCTGCTTCTCCACCTATCAGATCTTCTTTCTTTTATGTTTTTCTCTGTCTGCATGCACCTATGTAGGGGTTTATATATGTATAAAACAGGAGCCTCCTCCTCACATGTTTCTACATGTTACTTTTTCCCCTCAATAATAGCTCTCAGAAACCTTCCAAGTTAAATAGCAGAGCTCTAACTCTTGTTAACGTTGCTTAAATACATTTTTCCTTGTGGATGGGCATTTAATTTGTCCCCAAATGCTGCTGCTGACAGAAGCATCCTCGGACCTGTGTCCTTTTATGTTGTTGCTTACTTCTAGGAAACTGAATCCTCCTAGATGAAAGAGGGTATGTTTAACTTTTGAATGTTACTGGTTCACTTTACCAAAGTAATAACAAATCACATATCATCAGTTACGTACTTCTCTAGTTTCTATCTGGAGCAAATAGTATATTTTAAACATTGCCAACCTATAAATAAAGCGATTTGGAGTCATTGCTTTAATTTATAGCTCTTTCGCTGTAGCAAGTTACAGCTTTTCAATCAGCTGTCCTGTGGATTACTTTTTGTGAATAATCCCCTTTGTTTTATTTGCCCATTTTCTGTTGGGCTGTTGACTCTCTGCTAATCACTTAGATTCTATGTGTGTTTCAGAAATCGGTCCTCTGTCTCTCCGTGTTCCAGATCTGTCTTTCAAATCATTTGCCACAGAAGAGTCAAGTGTTCAATGCTAAGATATATCTGTCTTTGTAGCATCTTGGTTTCCTTTTTGAGCCCTGAAAGCCTAGAAGATGCCATAATACTAAAGTGTGCCTAATGCAGACAGAATTCCTTTCCTAGCAGATGGTTAGTAAAGGCTCTGTACTCACAAATAAATGCATGTTACTCTTCTCTGTCTTGGCCACCTGCTTGAGCATGTCATCTCTGTTCCTTTCGGTTTTCTTCCTCCCAGGTCTGTCTTCCCAGCTGTGTGGTGAGCAGCTAGAAGGAGCAGGATCATGTTTCATAATTCTCGTATGCATTTGCCATATAGAGATTAAATATTGTTAACTTACTTTGTATTTGCTGCAGTTTTCTACAAGACTAGTCATCATCTACTCTTAATGATTCTGAGTTTGCATCAGAATCACCTAGGGAGTGTCATAAAAATAAGATGCTCAGAACAACCTGTGACCTATATATCAGAAATTCACAGATTCTAGGAGATTCTGTTAGGTAGCTGGGCTTAGGAAGCACTGTACTAGAAGGTGAGTTTCTTAAACATGTCATCTTAATCCTGGCATAAAGATACTTGGCCTGAGTGATCAGGTAAAGAAGATCAATCCTTGCTTCATAAACTTTCATGAAAATGACCTGTTAACAATAATTGCAGTGTTTAGTATGCGGGGTAATGTATCCTCAGATAGTACATGGGAGTATAAGACAAGTAACTCATTGTATAGCAACATCAGACACCTAGGTGCTGAATTATGTGAGACTTCTGAATCAGTCATTTACAGAATTGTATAGAACCTAACATTTATAGTTTTAAAAGAAATCTTGGACATGTTTATACCTCAACCCTGTGATTCCATTGGGCAAATGTCTAAAAATAGTATAAAAGATTTAACTCTGAACCCTTTTATAGTATTGCAGTTATTTGCTAAAACATCACAGTATCTTGTGCAGTTAGGCCATTGAAAACACACACACCCAGTGGCCCCTTCTCTCTAGCACAGAGATCATCTATGTCCTATCTTTTCTCTTGAGGAGGGTTGGATAAAAGACTGAAAAGGAGGCTATCAGAGTGAACCTACCAGAGTCACTCTACCTGGAAAAATATGAGCGTGGGGAATAAATGTCCCCCCCTTACAGCAGAACTCATTATTTGTTTTATGTTTCGTTGCGTTTGGAAGAAGAGTGTGTTTCTAAAGTCTGTGCACATACATTAAGAAGTGAAGATTGTCATGCTTTTCTTTGATACAGGTTTTTAATGGAGCATCACCTAGTCAGCCCGCAGACCTGGCTTCATATAATAATCTGCAGGGCCCAGTTCTGACACAGTTTGTCATCCTGCTGTCTGCACACTCCTGAGCTGCTCGTCCTCAGGATGCTGGACTTCCTGGCTGAGAACAACCTCTGTGGCCAGGCAATCCTGAGGATCGTTTCCTGTGGCAATGCCATCATCGCAGAGCTGCTGCGGCTCTCGGAATTTATTCCAGCTGTGTTCCGTTTGAAAGATCGAGCGGATCAACAAAAATACGGAGAGATCATATTTGATTTCAGCTACTTTAAGGTATTTTCCCATGAGAGCATTTGTATTACAGTCTTTTCTGCAAAAGCATGTTTCCTCTGAGAACCATGATACTAAAAGGTCACATGATTATGAAGCATTAAAGAGGAAAGTGTTTAAGTTAAATTTATTATTAGCACCAACCTAAAAATAAGATAAACCCTTGTGTGGAAGTACTAACACAATATAATTGTCAAAAAGACAGCTTCAGCATAATATATTTGAACTAAACCCTGAAAAGGTGTAACTTGAACTACACCCTGAAAAGCATGCTAATCTTAGTTGCAATTGAAGTGCATTTCTCTCAGAGGGATTTTGTATCTAGCCTTTTATTATCTTCATTACTTTCTGTTGCTCTGCTTTAAATTTTTATACTTAACAAAATTTTAAGAGACTATTTAGAAATCATTTCCAACATGGATGGTTTTACTGATGTTTCACGTAAATATGTTTTTCTTCTTAGGGTCAAGAGTTATGGGAAAGCAAACTGGAAGCTAAGCCAGAGCTACAGGATTTAGATGAAGAATTTCGGGAAAACAACATAGAAATTGTGACCAGATTTTATTTAGCATTTCAGAGTGTGCATAAATATATTGTAGACTTGAACAGGTATTGATTAATTTAGTAATAGTTTATTCTGTTAGTAAATAGTGGAGGATAAGGGACCTGCTAGTTTCTATTGATCAGAACATGTACATCTTTCTGAGTTACTATAAAATTTACTCATTTATGCCCTATACAGTTGTCTTTTTCCTTCATGGGCCACTGGCCTTAAGTAGTATTGAATTTTATTATAACTCCTTGATCTTTTGAAGTATCACAATAAACTTGGTTGGACCACGTCATATAGCTTTCAGGCCTATAGTTTGTGATCATATTCTGATATGTGATACGGTGTATATGAGATGTGAAAAAATAAGAATTTATTTTTGTAGATAACATTCTGTGTCTTCTCCAAGTCTTAAGATCTGATTATTTATTAATCTTTAAACCAGCTATTCCATGTTCTTAAGTCATTATTCCTAAGATAGTTACAATTCATAATTATAATTTATAAACAAATTTACTTTTCCATGGAACAGCTATGAATATAAACCTGTGACCCTAAATTTACAGCTTACAAGGTGCTCTGATTCCTAAGAGCATAAAGGACCACAAGCTAGTTAAAGCCAGAATGCCTAATATCCTGCATTATCTTTTAAAACTGTTTCTTTATTCAAAGGTGTTAAAAGTTTCTGTTGTACATGAATAACTTGTCCTGGCGTTTTATTTCTAGATACCTAGATGATCTCAATGAGGGCGTTTACATTCAGCAAACTTTAGAAACTGTGCTTCTCAATGAAGATGGAAAACAACTTCTTGTAAGTGATAATGACCATGTAAAGTAGGAATTTAGGCATGTGAAATTCAGCATCACTGTTTTTCCTATAAGGCACAGATATGGACAGAATACCATTCTTTTTTTTTTTTTTTTTTTTTTTTGTCTTTTTCGTTTTTACTGGTACCAGGGATCGAACTCACGACTGCCTGCTTGCAAGGCAGGCACTTATGCCGCTGAGCTAAATCCCCAGCCCCTCAGAATACCATTCTTTAAAGAGCAGCAGACACACTGATAATTATCTTCTAATTGGCAAATCCATACCTGAGTTTTGGACATACTAGATGTTGAACAAAATTGCAATGAATATAAGACTATGCAGAGGATATAAGCTTCCACTTTTACAAGAATTCATGTATAATTTCTCTGTATAAGAATAAGGTTGATATTCATGGCTGTTCCAAAGAAAAGTAAATTTGTTTATTACAAATTATAATTATGAATTGTAACTATCTTAGGAATAATGACCTAACATGGAATAGCTGGTTTAAAGATTAATAAATAATAAAATCTTGAGACTTGGAAAAGAGACGGAGTATTATCTACAAAAATAAGTTCTTGTTTTTTCACTTCTCCTATACGCTTTACTTTTTGCACCCATGACCTCTAGCTGATACTTAGTACATGGTAACCACTTAGGAAGTTTATTAAATATGCAAATGAGTTAAATCAAGCATGGTGGTGTGTCTTGGTTACTTTTCTCTCTTGCTGGGACAGAACACCCAACACCCAAAATGAAGGAAGGAAAAGTTTATTTAGCTCACTGTGGAGGTTTTAGTCCATAATCAGCTGGCTCCAAGGCAGGGTAGTGTGGCATGGAGCAACATTTCAGGGAGCAGCCAGAGCAAAAAGGGGACAAACAAACCTCTTTTTCTCCTTTATTTTATACACAGGCCAGCCCACATCTCAGGTTGGTTGTAGTACTCTCAAAATCTCTGTACCCTCCTCTTGCACAGGATGAGGATATTAACAAAGTAAGGATCCTGGCTCCCTACTGAGTCTCTCAGTTAACCTAAACTGCTCAAGTTGACACAGTGTATCAGCCATAACCTGGTGCATGCCTGTAATCCCAGCATTTTGGGAGACAGAAACTGGAGGATAGTAAATGTGGGTAGCATAGTAACTTGGACCCTATCTGGAAATAAAGAAGTGCTGGGGATGTAGCTCAGTGTGAAGGCACTGAACACAATCCTCAGATCCACTGGAAGATAATAAAGGCCAACTGAAGATAATCACTGTAAATTAAAAGTTATTTTGAGTAAAATTTAAAGCCCACTCTACATGGACATTGAGAATTCTTTGCAAAAAACCCGTATTTTCCTTGAAATATATAGCTTTTAGGAGGAATGCAACTAAAGTAATTTTTTCCACTACTATTAACTCTGCTGTATGCAAACATACCCCCTCTAAGTTCAGTTGTCTCCCCTTTCCAGTGTGAAGCTCTGTATCTCTATGGAGTCATGCTGCTAGTCATCGATCAAAAGATTGAAGGAGAAGTCAGAGAGAGGATGCTGGTTTCTTACTATCGATACAGGTACCCTGGGCTAGGCCCACATACCCCAGAGCATTGCTACTGGTGAACTGCAGGGTGTTTTCACACTACTGTTGAGAACATTGGCAATATGACATAGGGTTAGCAAGCACAAGGCTACCTCTTCAGGACGGAGTAGGAATGGAGCACTTGTTCTGTGTTACACAGTATAACTATATATTATATTCCATGGAACCTCTGTCTTGTATACGATACTATATGCACTATAGTGTGGATTATTGAAGATGAAGGGATTACCGTGTCTGTAATGTTAACTCAGTTTTAGTAAAATGAGTCTGAACTCTGAATTTTATTTGCCTTGCAAATTTCAAAGAGTTTGGGAAAATACAGGGAATTTGTTTTTGTTTCTTTTAGTAAGCTTTTTTAACCTGACCCCTTGGCAGAGATAAAGAAGCAGATGAGCTTTCTGTGATCATTTTCAGACAGGTGACTTTGAAACATTGTCATCAAAAATCAGGTTGCAAATGAATTCTTGCCCATGTATACATAGATACAAAATCAAAATAAACTGTGCATGCGTGTGTGCGCACAGGGGCGACCCTTGTGTATATCCATATATATACACAAGTCTGCAGGAAGGGTAGGTAGTGTCAAAAATAGGAACCGCTTTATCAGCCTGGTAATTGTAGTTGACAGACACAAGGTTTCATTATGTCAAAAGAATGAGTCAAAAACTCCATGTAAAGTCAGCATCAGAAGTAGATTCAGGGAGGATGCAGTGAGTAAACAGGAGTCATTTAGGAACTTGGGCTAAAGACAGAAGGAACAGGGTTAATATTTTCCCAGCTTCCAATTCTGAGCAAAATGAGGAGGTCAAAAGAGGCAGCACAGAGGGGGTTGCTGGAGGGCATCGTACCCTCAGCAGCACTGCCTTGGAGCAAGGCTGCCACATTAGCGGGTTCCCTGCCACCCGGGCTTCATGTGGCAAGAAGATCTGCCTGAGGGCCCAGTCTCCACACCAGTGTGACCATCAACTGCTGTGACATTCATTTTTAAAAAATGAAACTTGAACAACCTTACCTGTATTTCTAAAAGTATCTGAAAAAACAGAAACAATAAATAATGTAAAGAAGAAAAAAACATTTGCTTATTGAGCCCAGCTTTGAAAAACTCAGCCTTTGTCCCTTTGGGTAGAACAGGTGGTTCTGTAGAATGCAAACACTTGACGCTGAGTATCACTGAGTGATCACACACGAGTGTGGTGAAGAGTCTTACACCAAGACGAGGCCATTTCAAGGCTGAGATTCAGGTCCAGTGCATTTCTCTCACTGCTTACTCTTCTACCCTGAAAAATCACAGATGTTCTTACAGATCTCTCATGAGGAGCAGTTTGTTCAGAAAAACCAGGTAGTGTACTTTTAGGTTGGTAAGAGGTTTCTTTGTTTTTTGAGACAGTGTCTTGCTGTGTAGTTCAGGCTGGCCTTGAATTCACTATGTAGCTCAGGTCAGGCACCACAGCTTCTGACGCTTTCCCAAAGTCAAAATGACTGTGAAAGGCAGATGCAGTGAATCAATGCAGGACATTTGAGCAGCCACATGGCATGGCTTTCAAGACACTCATGAAAGGAGTCCAGAGCTCCTTTAGAAGGTGGTCAGAGTGATGGAATGAATGTAATCAAACTAAGGGAGGGGAGAGGTTAATGGCTTTCTGTTTTTTAATTTTTAAAACTGAAATTTTTAAATAATAATTTTTAAAACTGAAATTTCTCAGTTTTTGATCATACCTCATATTTGAACTAAGTATCGTACTATTTTCTTTTTCCTCCTCTCCCTCTTCCTCTTCTTCTTCCTCTTCTTTTTCTCATCCTCATCCTCATTCCTCATCCTCTTCCACTTTTTTTTTTTTTTTTTGGAGGCACTGGAAATTGGACCCAAGGCCTCATGCATACTAGGCAAGCATACATTTCCAGACCCTTTCATTTTATTTGAGACAGGGTCTTGCTAAGTTTTCAAGGATGGCCTTGAACTTATCCTCCTGCTTCAACCTCTGAGTAGCTGGGATTTTAGGCATATGCCACCATGTCTGACGTTATGTTACTTTCTTATCATTGAAAAATGCTGTATGCTGAAGAAGAAAAAAAAATGTAGACCCAAGGATTTTGGGAAAGGGACTGTGGGGATCGTGCACCTTTTCATAGAGCTAATACCCACCTTCTTGCTAGACCTTGAGTTTCTAATATATATGGTTTGTCTGGCCCGTTATTTCCCATTGTGAACACAACTCAGTGCTGCTCGATCTTCTGCTGATTCAAATATGGACGACATTTGCAAGCTGCTGCGGAGTACAGGTTATTCCAGCCAGCCAGGAGCCAAAAGACCACCGAACTATCCTGAGAGCTACTTCCAGAGAGTGCCTATCAACGAAGCCTTCATCAGCATGGTCATTGGCCGACTGAGATCTGACGATATTTACAACCAGGTGGGAATTACATCATTAGGATCATACTAATTTAAAAGATTGATGATGCTTTCCTCCTCAGTTACTCTTTTCCTTTTTTTTTCCCTAAAAGAATAAAAACAGCAGCTAGAAAAGACTTTTAAAACATTTTGAACTGTGCTGCAGAGGAAAGAGGGATATTAGTTGTGTCAAACTCAGTTGGGCATGCAGAACACACTCAGTCCCAGCCTTTGGGAGGCTGAGGCAAGAGGATCACAAGTTTGAGCCCAGCCTGAGCAACTAAGCAAGACTGTGTCTCAAAATAAAAAGCCGAAGAGCTGGAGACATAAGTCAGTGTGAAGGCACTGGATTCAATCTCTACTACCACGAAAAAAAGAGAAGAAAAGAACAATGAAGAAACTTCAGAAAGTTCCAGGGCAGATGAGATTGGATCAGTTGGAAAGAACATGTACTCTTTATCTGTTCACTCAAGGAATAGTTATGGAGTGTGTGTTGTGTGCCCACTCCTGTGCTGGGAAGAAGGCAGGCCTTGCTCCCTTCCCACAGGGACCTTGTTGCTTAGGAAAGAAGACACCAGCAGAATTACCAGCAGGCAAGCTTAGTGTCATGGTAAGGGGAGCACAGGGTGCCACCAACAAGCGCAAGTAGCAGTGGTCTCAAGATTGAGGAAGGTAACAAAGTGGAGAGTGCATTCAGTCCAGGCAGGGTAGCAGCCCGAGCAGGGCTAGAAATACCCTGGAAGATCTGAAAGTTCTCTTATTCATGTGAGTGTCTTGCAGTTAGTCAGGAGACTATCAAAGAAAGTTACTGTTTGATTCCGTTGTTCTGAAGAATAGATCCTTTTCTAGAAGAGAATAAACAGCACACCTGCTCCACAGTTGTGTAGGTAGCCTGTCAGTTTTTGATGTGAATAGGTCAAGTAGCAGTAAGATCCTTTTACTCTTTGGGAATTTTTAAAGTCTGTACAAAACCAGAAACTGCCTGCAGACGACACTCTGTAGTGTGTGTTGCCATTCACTGAGATTTCAGTCTAAAATGATGTCATGGAGGTTTTCTTCATACACCATTCTCTCAACCTTGCAACAATTCTGCGAAGTAGATGGCATTATCTGCATGTTGCTGTTGAGTTAATAAGACTTAGAGACTGTCAGTGATTTTCCCAGCTCACACAACCAGATGGTAGACCATGCTTTGTATTCAGCTCTCTAAGACTTCTATATGAGCTCAAAGTCTGTACCATTCACTGACTGCCTCTGTTTCTCTGGCTCTCCCGACACCATTCTGCCTCATGCTCAATCCATTCTGTCCGTGTTCTCCCTTCACTAGCTCAGGGGCCAAACTGTGGTCATGCTGTACGTCACCCCATTCTCTGTCTTGCACTCCACTATCCCTGGTCATGGCTGAGGAGTCAGCTTCTCTCTTCCTATGTATTTTGGAACTGGGCGTGAAAAAGTTTCTGCATGTGAGTTTCCTACAGCATGTGTATTGGATACTTCCCTGATGCTAGACACCCAGAACTTGGAGGAGGAGGAGAGGTTATTTAGGCTGACGTGTGAGTCCATGGTCACATGTGGTAAGCTGGCTTCAAGGCAGGAATATGTTGCTGAGGGACATGGTGAAGGAGAAGATACTCTACCCAAGGCCACCAGGAAGCGGGGAGCAAAGGGGACAGGGGTACACACTCACAGGTCACATCCCCATTGCACACCTGCAACCAAGCCCCGCGCCTAACAGCATTCAGCTACAAGATTCATCAGTGAGTGAACCCCTGATGAGTATGCCACCCCAGATCAGATCATCTTACACTTTAGAATTTAGGAAACATATAGATCTAAACCATAACAACATGCAACATCTGGAGTTGGAGAGCTCCTCATTCAGACAGATATATGGTTATAATTGGGGGGCAGGAAGTTGTCAGGACTCAAACTCGGGACCTTGTGCTTGCCAGGCAGGTGCTGTGCTGCTGAACTGTGTCCCTGTCAGCCAGGTACACGAAGAGTCAGGAAGAAAAAGCTGGGCAGAGAGATTGAGAGATGGCGGCTTGCTAGGTAGCCATCTCTGGAAGAGCCTCTCTGGAAAAACAGCTCGGACACTGGAATTTGACAACATGGAGAGGGCTGGATGAGTGGAGAGGGACTCTCGGGAACCCAAGAGGAAATTGAAGGGAAAAGAAAAATAGGAAGAGGAAGGAAAAATGCGAGTGGAGGGCTGGAGCCTGATGCGATCACAGACCCATCCCACGCTGTGCTGGGAGCACGGTGGAGTCGGGCAATGGGTTGCACTGAAGCCATGGCACTGATAACGGGAGTTGGTGAGTCCCAGGCCTTTGGCGGGAGGACATAGCACGCATGGAGTGGAGTCAAGGTGGAGAGCTGCATTAATTCTCTCAGTGAGTGCTGGAAATTGGGTCCTGTGGCTGGAAGACATCTTGGTGTAGGGCAGAGCCTGGTGGCATCAGTCAGCTGCCCCTGGCCCAGAGAGGACTGGTGGGATCTGCTTGGACTGAGCCATGCCGCTGGTTGGGACACTATAGCCAGGGATGAAACTGTCACAATCCTGTGATGTCCATCACAGCACAGCCTAAGTTGCTGAAGGCACTGGCCAGTTGACTGGCTCAGAAGCAAGGGGCTAGCCCAAATCATCCCTGCGTGCACCTTAGATAACAGCAAATTGGAGAGGAGAGCAAAACTCCAGTCAGCATGCTTCGGAAAACCTTAAGCAATACGGAAAGGGCCTGAGACCTCCACCATACACCGGTCTGAAAGAAATCAGAAACATGACAAGAGAAAGAAATAAGAAAAACCTCCAGCTGCTGACCCTGGAAAAATAAGCCCAGGAGAGGTGAATACAGAAGAGAATCAGTACAGCAATCATGCAACGTTGGCCAACACATCAGTGGACATAAATACCTTCATGACCTCATAGACGAACTTAAAACTGAAATTCTAATCCAAGTGAGGCAAGATATAGAAAGATTAATTAAAGAAATGCTAAGCCCCTCCCAAGAAGACACGGACAAAAGAATGGAGGAACCCAAAAAAGGAAGAGAAACCTTTGGTGAAGAATATAAACAAAATCTAGAATACATGAAACAGATCCAAAGAGATTACCAGGAAACTAAAAACTCCATTGCTCTCAAAATGCCTTGACAGAAACTAAAGTTAGCCTTTCAAAACTTGAAGAGAGATATATAATGTGTGATTGTGAAAGAAAAGATCTCTTAAAAATAACAAAGAACCAGAAAGAAACAATTCAAAGGCTAGGAGACAACAAGAGGATCTATAACTTAAGAATAAAAAATGTGAGCAAAGAAGCAGGAGTAACCACAAATGAACTACAAAGACTATTTCAGAAAAATAATTAAGGAAAACTTCCCAAGCATAGGGAAAAGAAATGATATCCAGATAAATGAGGCATACAGAACTACAACCAAAACAGATCTATACCTAGACGTATAATAATCAAGATCCCAGAAATCCATCACAACAATATTAAAAGCAGCCAGAGAAAAGAAACAGATCACCTACAAAGGAAAAGTTATCAAAATAACAACAGACTTACCAACACAAACTGTCAAATCAAGAAGAGCCTGGGGGGAAATAGTCCAAGCCCTGAAAGAAAATAACCACCAACCCAGATTGATATACCTTGCAAAACTCTCTCTCAAAATTAATAAAGAAATTAGATGTTTCCCAAGACAAGGAGGAACTGTGGGAGTTCATGGCCACCCATTCAACCCTACAAAAAATTCTGAAGGACATTCTAGAGAGAGAAAAAATACCAGAATTCCAGCAACAGTGGCAGAGAGGCCTCAATGAACAGGGCAGACAGTGGAATGAAGGAGAAAAGTGGACAAATAATAGCAGAAACATAGAATAGCAGAGATGAGGCAGAGAAGGTAGGCTATAATCTTTAATATAGATAGCCTTGATACGCTAACAAAAAGAAACACAGGCAGAGTAGATTAGGCGGCCGGATCCATCGAGAAGCTCTGAATAGGAAATATACTCAACCTGAAAGAGGGTTAATCAACTGAAAGTCAAAGATGAGAAGACGATGCCTTATGTGACAAGGAACCAGAGAGAAATAGGGACAGTTCCTCCAGCAGCCACAGATAGGTTGCAAAGTTATGACACTTTTGTGCAGTGTAGAACTACACAGCTGGAAGGAAAGAAAATCTTGTGGCTTTGATAAGTAAAGGAGTACAGCTCAAGATCAAGCTTAGGGATAAAAAGGTTCAACACCACTCAGATAGGTAATGGGTTGACCCCTACTCTAAAAACTAAAGGAGCTAGTTGGACCCAAAATATCCAAAGAATCCTGCGAAGGGGAAAGGTGAGGAATTGCCTAAAAAAGGAAGGCAGAGGGCATTGTTAATAGTGCATCAAGATTTAAAAGTCACACTAGGCATGTCACTCTGTTTAGTTGGATTTTATTTTGTTCTGGTCTGTCTACTCATACTAGATTTAAGGTCACAGACAGCTATCCCAAAAATAACTGATCTTACTTGAAGCTGGTTTGTTAGACCACTGTTTTGCATTGACTGATTTTATTCTAATTTGGTATGCTTGATAGTATCAAGTCTAAGAGTAGAGGCAACTACTCTGAAGATGACAAGATGTAATAAGATTCCCATTCCAGCTTGATTATTAACTGCTTTTGAAGTCCTACAATGTCTCCAAAGTTGTGTTTTTATTAAAATAGCTATGTAATGCTATGTTCAATTATGTCTGATGATGTGGACAATTTATTGAAAATAACAAGGGAAAGCATAGTAACTACTATAGATCACCTAACATTGTGGTTTTTTTCGTTTTTATCAGTACCAGGGATCAAACTCGCCACTGCCTGCTTGCAAGGCAGGTGCTTATGCCACTGAGCTAAATCCCCAGCCCCTTATATGTTTTTTTCATTTCATGTTTTTCTAGGAATTTGTTTTGTTGCCTTATTATGATCTGTTTTTCCCTATAATACAGAAAGAATAGCTATACATGTAGAGATTCACACATGGGGAGAATTTCTGAACTGTTTACAGGACCAGATTATATAATGCACAATGTAATGAACAGATACTCTGAAGAAGAGACACCAAGAAACCCAGTGCTAATTCTGTAGCATTATGATATAAAATCTAGCAATACTATTATTCACTGCACAGAGTGATATTAGTCTAGTCTCTTATGTTCAGTTTCAGCATACATAAAGATAAGGACAGCTACTACGAAGACAATGAGAGACACTATAGCAGTCATTGACTTCCTCAATGTCAGGTCTTGAAGACCTAAAAAGCCATTATCCTGTTATGACTTGATTAGTTCTATAATGTTCAGTATGTATTCAATGTGTGTGAAGATGGGGACAACTAGAATTGCTTTAAAGTCCATGTTTCTTAAAATTTTTTCCTTATGATCTGTTTTGTTATGTTTAATCTTATCCTCTTTAAAATAAAAAAAAAAAATAATTCATTTGAGGTCATATAGCTGGCAAGTATCAGTCCCAAAATGTAAACCTAAGTAGCCTGATTTCAAGCTTTGTGAGCTAACTGTAATAAAATAGTGACAAATTTCATAACAACAACAACAACAACAAAAAAGTTGGGCAGATGCATCAAGAGAAGAAAGAGGAAAGGCATTCTGGTTTACCCCACGCCACGCTCCCTGTGGTTCAGCCGCATTTCTGCCTGCAGGACTCAAGGGCCATTGCTGTATCTGTCCTTATAATAAATTCTCTGCTTTTTGTTAGTGGTGGCTCAAGTAATAGATGCTGTGTGCAGCCAGAGATTCCTAATACACGAGGAGATGGGTCCCTGGGGACATCAGCATTTAAGACAGGCAAAAGCACACTGAGCATAGATCATGCTAACTGGAGAACCAAAGTGAGTATTATTACTCCAAGAGGTTAAGGGACAGCGCTAAGAAGCCATTGAGTTGGGTTAGGGAACTCCATTGGGAGAATGGCAGACCTCAAATTTCACTGAGTTGCAAAACAAACAGGAAGTGATAAAATAGCAATAATAAGCTGAGTCTTGCAGTTCTAAGGGATTGTGTCTGAGAAGAAGGACATACAAAGTGAAAACTAGTGGGAGCCGCAGGGTTAGAATATTTTTTAAAGAGAGAATTGCAACAGAGTCTAGGAATGAAAGGAAGGGAGTGTTGGGATTAGGGATAAAATAGAAGTAAAACCCTGGGTATCAATGCTACAACCTGAGAATTGGGGCCAGTGTCCAGGATCTTGAAGGTGATAAACTTTCGGGTAACAGATGTGCCCTAGAACAGATAGTTTAATTCCAGGATTTACACATCCAGGTGTGAGTCACGGTCCCCTGTGTGAGATCATGTCTGTGTTGCAGGTTTCGGCCTACCCACTGCCAGAGCACCGCAGCACTGCCCTGGCCAATCAAGCTGCCATGCTGTATGTGATTCTCTACTTTGACTCTTCCATTCTCCATACCCATCAAGCAAAAATGAGAGAGATCGTGGATAAATACTTTCCAGATAACTGGGCAAGTTATTACTATTTTTTTCTTCACCAATAAATTTGTAACCAAACCTACCTTCTATTTTTTGTCCTCAAACCAGAGGTCATGATGTTTTAAATACTTGGTCATAAAATCACTTAGGCAGAATGAAGTGTGTTGGAAATTTTATATATCAAAACAGGAGAGACTAAATCAGTCAGTAAAAGTTCCTGACCAACCCTATAGTATTTTCTGTCAATGGATACTCTGAGAATAAAACCACCTATTAAAATGTATCTTACTTCTGCTTCTGAGAATGCAACTAAGCCATTTTGTGAATCTAAAATAGCAAAATTCCTCTCATTTGTCATTTTGTAAAAAATTATTTCATTTATACAAGTTTTACCTGTAAGGCCTTATGTGGGCACATTGAGATATACATGACTTCAGGGATATGTTTGTAACTTTTAACCTTGTTTGACTTAAAAATATTCTTAAGGAATAGAACTTAACATACTTAGTATATGTGAAACATTTTGCTTACACAAGATTTTACCAACAGCAGTGAATCAATCCATATGCTCAGGTAGGAGATTTTGTTCTACTTCTTAACTGTTGAATTACAACTACTGAATCACATTATCTGTTATGAGAGACCCTTTAATTGACTGCCAGTATGAGAGTAATCTACAAATAAGAGGTTCCTTACCACTCATCAGGCATGCTTCTGAACTTGGAGTTGATCAATCATGGCAAAAACTGATAATTTTCCTTCATGGTATCAGAGTATATTAAAGAAGTCTTGGGTATAATACTATAGTTACAAGCATATTTAGTGCTAAGAAAAATTCAAAATCCAGTTTCATGATGCCTGTAAGATACATATCTTAAAAAAACTCTAAACAAAATAAATAAAAAACACTGTTGAATACACTCTAACATAAAAGGATCAAAAAAGAGAGATATGCCATGCAAATTCCAACCAAATAAATAAATAAATGTATACTGCTAAAAAAATGTAACAATAGAGAAAGTCAAAGAAAAGCATTAATAAGAGTATTACAGGATTAAATAGAATACTGAAGTGAGCTGAGTCATAATTATTGTGCACTCCACATACTCAAAGACTCACAGGGAAGAAGGCTTAGAGATTTGAAGAAATGTAAACCAGTGTCAAATCAGCCTTCATACAGATGCTTCTGGATAATTCCAGTGTTTGTTTTTATTATTGAAAAATATTGCATGGAATGGGTTTGTTATTATTTTAAATAGATACTTTTAAATTTACCAGTTTTACTGTGTAATACAGTTTTTCTTAATCTCAGAGTCTTCATAACTTTTAAGAGCATTAAAAGACAAAAATGTTTAGGAAAATTTCTGTGTTAGTCAAAGTCCCTGTTGTTTTGTCCCTTTTCATTTTTCTTCATCTGGAAGGTAAAGGACAGCCGTTTGAAAGAAAAACTTTGCTTATTTTCCCGATTAGCACTCTCGTTGCTCTTGTTTCATAGTGTTCATAAGGAAGAATCCTTACCCATGTATCGGGAAAGTCCATAGTTCTCATCTGTATGAGTGTAACCTGGGAAGAGGGCAATACCTTATACAGCTTTATCTTTCCCAGCCCTCCACTGTGAAGTGAGCAGTAGTAGACAATACTGAGTGTGTCCTCTTTCAGGTGATTAGTATCTACATGGGGATCACAGTTAACCTAGCGGATGCTTGGGAACCTTACAAAGCTGCCAAAACTGCTTTAAACAACACCCTGGACCTTTCAAATGTTAGAGAACAGGTAAGTTTTGCCTAACCAGGGAGGCTCCTGATAACTACAAACCTGAAATATAAAGTAGGAATTGACCTACGTAGCTTTTCTCAGGAATTTGGAAAACGCCCCCATAAACCTTTGTAACAAAAGGTAAATTTTGTACATTGCAAAAAATATACAAGTATAGATTTTTAATGCCTGTGTGTAATAAATTGGAGACTTGGGTCCCACGCCTGTTTGCTATCTTAAGACAAGTTAGTATAGTGAATGTCTAGTCCTAACTGACTTTATCTTATTTACACAGTATCCTGTAGACAGAGTTAGTTTTGCAGCTGCTGAAATTAATGTGTTTTTGTCTATAAGATGAATGCCAAAAATGCTAACTGAACATGGAGAGTATTCTGTCACTGTAGTTTAAAGTCATTGTTCCTGATGTGTTACTTCGCTTATTTAAGCAGTAAGACTTAAGACATTCATATTTAAATTACATGGCTATCATCTGTCTCTTTGGTAAGGACACAAGGCACAGGAAATTTTTGAGTAGTAAAGGAATAAAAACAAATTATTTTACTGAGATACATACCTGATATTTCTCGATGATTAATTCCTCAGTTTGGCTGCCAGAATTACTGAGTTTCCTGTGTGGATAGAACAATATTGACTCCAAAAGCTTTATCATGTTTTATTCAAATAAGTTTAGTTCTATAAATAATGCACAAAATAATTTCAACATTGGCATGTCTCCTAGAAATGTATTAGAGCAATGGCACTTTCATAATTACTGATACCAAAGCATTAATTTTTCATTACTAAAAAACCCCTTTCCAAAATTCCATTTTCTCATTTATGATATTTTTCTAAAACTTCTTGATAGTTTTAAACTGACTTGACCAGATCAATAATGGTTAGCATTTGAGTTTTGCTTTAGTAAAACAGAATAATCAAACTTGCAAAAGGCTGGTGTGGAAATTCAGTAATGATATTCTGAGGTATATTTTTTGTTAGGTTTCATATACCTGTAGAAGTGTGATCTTTTTCTTGTGTCTGCTCTGTTCTGCCTTCATTTTCAACAATAATAACAACAGGCAGTTTGGCTCCTGTCTTCCTGTTCTTTTGCTCCCTGTCTGGTTCTCCACTTGAAATTGGAACACACCGTTGCGCAGAGGTTAAACCCCAAGTCACACCGAACTTTAAGGCTTAGTCTCAAAATACTAAGTACAGTGCTTTTTCGGGAGGCATCCGGTAAACCAGTTGCCCTTAGGTGTCTGACCCTCAGCCTACCTGTTACTTGTGCCCTGTAGCAATGTTACCATTGAAAGGAAAACAAGGAAGGAAGGGGGAAGTTAGGGCAGGAAAGAAGACAAGTTGGCCAATTTATCTAGGGTGTAATGTGGTTCGTTTTGAAGATAGTTTTCAATATGATTCTGATTGTTTTGCTTTCCAAAGGCAAGCCGGTGCGCTACTGTCAGTGAGCGAGTGCATGCCCAAGTGCGGCAGTTTCTGAAGGAGGGGTACTTAAGGGAGGAGGTGGTGCTGGACAACATCCCCAAGCTCCTCAATTGCCTGCGAGACTGCAACGTGGCTATCCGGTGGCTGATGCTTCACACGGCAGACTCAGGTAATGGAGGAGGGCAGCCAGCACATTGCTGCCTGGGAAGCAAAGTGGTCTAGCGGGGAAAGAGTCCTTGGGTGAGAGTCAAGTTGCTCTTTCAGCCTTTTTCATGTCAACTTGGGTAAGATGGGTGCTAGGGAATCTGAGGATGTTTAGGTCACATGTTGAAGGCACTTGTTACTGGTTGAGTTAAGGAGTCAAGATATATACATACAGAAAAGGGTAGCTGTGAGTCTCTACTAAACAAAGTGAGTCCTCCCAGACCACCCTCACAAAGTTGTCCATACCCTAATCTCTTGGACCTGTGGACATGTCACGCTGAAGAAGTAAGCATTGCTACCTTTAAAGATGGGAGGGACCATAAGCCAACAAGTGGAGGCAGCCTTTAGAGGCTTCAGAAGGCAAGAAAAGAGGTTTCCCCTAGTGTGTGCTTACAGAAGATACCCCAGTGGGCCCTGTTTTATATTTCTTGCCTCTGGAATGTAAGTGAAGAGCTGAAGACTTATTTCAGCAGCATAAGCGCCTGCCTTGCAAGCGCATGGTCGTGAGTTCAATCCCCAGTACCAAAAAATAATAATAATAATAATAATCATGCTGAAATGTAAGTAAGTTTAAATAGTTTTAATTTAGTAAATGTGTGCTAATTTGTTAGTGCAACCATAGGCAGCTGGTGAAGGTCCAGGCAAAGTAGGCAATGAGTATGGCATGTGTCCAGTGTAGGAAGGGAAACATTGCTGGGGGTGGAGGAACAGAGGAGGTCAGAAAAGGCTTCCATCCAAGAGGCAGGCATTGGCCAGGCCCTTAGGAAGATAAGGTGAGAACCAGAAGAAATTCTAGATTGCAGAAGTATTAAATCAGAGGTATGATTTTAGAACTACAGAAAAACATGGGCTCCCTGAATTCAGGATTTGATCAGATCAAAGTGCTTGTTTCAGGAAGATTCAGTCTCACCCATTTCTGTGTAGAAAAAGAAGAAATTTTGAGAGTGTGTGCCCGTGTGGCTTGACCTCCAAGTTTATGGAGTTCCTGAACTGTGTGAATCATCTCCACACAACCTGCAAACAGTGACTAATGCCTCTGCTTTAATGGTAGAGAAATGAATAGATGGAACCAGTAATCTTGACCTTGTTCAGAGATAGCCAGCTCTACCCATAGTTTCACTGACTTCAACGATTGCCCCTCCTCCCAAGAGCTATGTCGCTCAGCAGCCTGGTAAAGCCCTCTGACTTTCTCTCTCCTTCTGCTGGCTCTTCTTGAGGACCTGCTGAGACTGGCACTCACTGCTTTTTTCAGACGAGATTGCACCCCTGAAACCGTGCACAGCGGATTATTCCACAGCCCGGCCGTCTCCACTTCCTGGAGGTGACTGCAGAGAAAACAGCAGCACGCTTCCTCGGCCTTCCTGCCTGTGCACATATGCGCTGTTTCTCCTCACACTTCTCTGCAGCTCCTGGGCCCTTTCTCACGAGTGTTGCTTTCCAGGGTTTTGCTCCCCTTTACTTGTCGGCCTAGATCCATTTACAGTTACCCACAGTGTGATTGATCTGCTTTAAGTAGCTGTTAATCTTTTACATGAACTCCAGTTCTAATTTCAGGATTTACTACGTTAACTCAGTCTATAATCTTCTCTACCAAAGTGTTGGATTTACAAGCATATAAACAGCGCAGGTCCTCACTTTATCCCACCATAAAACAGCTTCAGTTTCCTCGTGACTCAGCCTCTGTGAGATGGTGCCTGAAAGTCGTGTCTCCAGATCTGCATCCGAGCCAGGGCCAGCCTCAGCTTTTATCTTCTGCCATATGTGCTTTCCATTCTTGTGTCTGGTCATCACCTGACCTAATTGCACAAGGATGAGTTACCAGAAGCAAACAAAGTCAGACATGGAAAAAGTACCTGCTTATTCTGTGTTGGTTTGGTTTGGCTTGGTGATCCTCCTGTCTCAGCTCCCAAGCCCCTTTCGAGTGGCCACATTTTTAGGCGGGTAACCCTGCTTCCCTGTTGTATCAGGCAGTGCCCAAGACCACCCCAGGCTTTCAGATTCACCAAGAGGACTCAGGAGACTCCATGTAGGATAATGACTGTCATTTAATCCTAGCAAAAGCAAAGTCAGCAATGACAAAGGACACAAAGGGGAAATCCAGAAGAAGCCAGGCACGAGCTTCCAAGGGTGCTCTCCCAGTTGAGTCACACAGGACCTACTGAAGTCCCCTAGCAGTAAGTTGTGACAACACACGAGAAACGTTCCCACCAGGCAAGCTTGTTAGACTCAACTTCCGTGTATTTACCCAGGCTGATCGTGTGGGCAGCCCCTCCCTGGCCTCCACAAAAGCCCAGACTTGCAGAGGAAGGCAGATGTTGACAGTGTCTGCATGAACAGATGCAGCATAGTGAATCATTCTTGGTCCTCAGAGTGAAGAAAGCTGGTCCCAAAAGCCACATCCTCAAGTGTCAGCCCAGGGTTCACCTTGCAAACAGCTCTTTCTAAGGATAGCAGCCTCAGCCTGCCTGTCCACCAGATCCAGACAGACAGGAACTGAGTGCTTCACTCTCCTGTAACACTCCCAGTCAACTAGGCAACCCCAAAACACAAACTTCAGAAACACAGTTTTCATTCAGCAGCGTATCAGAGAATAACACTCCATGTCAGATTGTTTTCTCCCTCAAATAGATTCACTCTTTCACTACTGTATTGGTAACATTTTGCTTCATACTTTTTAAATGCTTAAAAGTGAAGAAAATACTAAACTTTCATCTTAATTCATACAAATTTTCTTCATATTTCTAGCCTGTGACCCAAACAACAAACGCCTCCGTCAGATCAAGGACCAGATTTTAACTGATTCCAGGTACAATCCCAAGATTCTCTTCCAGTTGCTGTTGGATACTGCACAGTTTGAGTTCATACTCAAAGAGGTAAAAATACTGAATGAATAATCACCAAAGTCTTAGGGCTTTTTTTTTTTTTTTTTAATGTTTAAAAATACTTTGAAGAAAAAGGTCGGAATTTAGTTGTTATCTTTTGATCCAAGCCACACGTTCTAGCTGTGTGAAATAGTTCTTACGTTTAAAAAGGCAGGATTAAACTTCTAGCCAGCACTTACTGTGTACCGTCTTTTAGGGGACAGGAATGAGGAAAGTGCACAGGGTTCTGAAGGTTATAGTCTAAGGAATCCAGACCCTGATCAGCTCGGCACAGTCATGAAAATGTGCACAAACTGAGATCTGTGCTCTGTAGCAAAGGAGACCATCCTTGCAGTGCCTAAAATAGGGGATCTTTTGCCAGCCTGAAGACTTCCCTGGGGACAGAAGTGTGAGTCTCTGAGGGGACTGGAGAAGACTGTGTCAGAGATAGCTAGACGGAGTAGGGAACGTTCCAGAGAACATCCCCAGGAGAAAAAGGGCTAAGCCTCAGCTCGTACAGTGCTTCAGTCAGATAAGCCAGGTACTCCATGGTGAGCCCATTAGGTGCATCACTTGATGGCATGGTGGCCAGCTTAGTTCAGCAGGTACAGCATTGTGATAGTGAGGAACTGACTGACCATACATCTCACAGAACACATCCCCATTGTCATAACTGTGTGCCTCAGTCCTCTTGGATAGGAAAGTGTGACCATCAAAGTCCTCAAAGGCCTCTTGGCTATAGAGGAGAAGGCAACAGAAAGGCGGCTGGAGGTGATGCTGAGAGCGGCAGGAGCCGGCCCATGGTGGGCCTCGAAGTTTGTCAGCATTCTGCCAGCCAAGGGTCCCTGCTGGGAAAAGACTGAGTATGGTGGGTGATTTGCATTTAGCAAGGTGGTCTTAAGGACTTTGAGGAACTTGAGTTTACTGGGGGAAATTCTGAGGTTAGTCCTACCCTGAATTATCCTCTTTAAATAAATTTTTTTAAAAAATGGAGGTTTCCTGAATGTGTCCTGCTTCTGCAACTAGCACCGTGGGCTTGTAGATTAGGTGGGCTCAGGAACTAGCCCCACCTGTTGACCCCCACCCAGAGCCAGTCTCCATCTAGTCGGAGACACACGGAGTGCTTCTTTACTCTCAAAGCACATGAGGGTACTCTGCTCCCTGTGACTCAGAAAATATAGGTGCTGGTTATTAACACAATGCTAGTGTGTGCACTAAATGCTTTCAGTGATCTTTCCAGTTTTGATCTATTTAGTAATTTTACTGTTTTCTTTCTTTGCAAATCATTATTGAATAGCTAGTCTATTCCCAGTGAAGTATTAGGAATTTGAAAAAGATTGAAGCATGCCCCTGCCATCAGGGAGCCCGGGGCCAGTGAAAGAGAGAGCCAGGCAGGAGGCCAAGAGCGGCATCAGGCATGTGAAAGTCAATTGGCCGGTGGCAGATGAGCTGCTCTCCAGGGAGGATGCCCGTGGCCAGTTAGAATCCAGAACCTCGACACTTCAGACTGGTTCCCTGTCGCTCAGTGGTGCTGACCCACTGCAAATCGGGATAGGCCTGAGCCATCTCAGAGTCCAGCTGCTTCTCTAACCTTCAAAGTGTTCTCTGGACTTGACCAGAGCAGTGTGAGCAGCTTCTCCCTGTCGCCTCAGGCGGAGGAAACAAAGCCTTGGGACACTGGCCTATCATGAAGAGAAGATGCTATGGAAACAAAGAAGAGAATTCCCCAGCACAGATCGGGCACAGAGATGACAGATTTGAATTTCTGACTTTTCAGTGTGTGTCTTTGAGTTTTCCTTTCTCCTACCTCCCATCCCAGCCTTTTGTAGAATCACTTTTTGCCTTCTGCAGACACAGTAATAAGACCTGTATCTCTTCTGATCTCTGTATGATTGTATTTTTCCATTCAAGGACCATCTGCACTCCCAAATTGTTTCTTACAAGATACAAAATCTGAGCCAGGGGTGGCACATACCTGTAATCCCAGCATTCGAGAGGTTGAAGCAGGAGGGTCACCGTGAACTCGAGGCCAGGCTGGGTTAAGGCAGTGAGTTCAGGGCCAGCCTGTATGTCTCAAAAAGAAACCAACAGGAAAAAATGTTGTGGAGCCTGTGTTCCTTATGCTCTTTTCATTTTACTGGTTAATCATCCTGTCTAGCTCACTTAAGGCCGCCTGCTCCTCAGACCCAAGCGTACCCCACACAGCTGTGATCCCCTCATCTGTAACTGGAGATTCCCCTGCCCATTTTCCAGCATTTCAGTTTCATTACAGTACTGACAAATGCAGGATTTCTGAAGAGAAAAATCAGTATTGGTATCTGTTTGTCTCATAAGCACCCAGTGGACTAGTCCTAAACCTTGGTGTGGGACAGCATGTCCTGTAGTGAGAATATGTGTGTTTGTAAAATTGGTTTCAAGAATGAAACAAAATGGCTGGGTGTGGTGGCTCATGCCTGTAATCCCAGCACTCGGGAGGCTGAGGCAGGAGGGTTGTTGTGAGTTCGAGACCAGCCTGGGCTACAAAGTGAGCTCAAGGCCAGCCTGAACTGCATAGTGAGACCCTGTCTCAAAAAGAGTGAAACAAAATGAGTTTTACCATTTTCTTCTCTACCCAGGATAAGGTTTACTTTTTTATGAAAGAGTGAATTAATGAACAGAATTTCTGTGTAATCTAACAAGAAGGAAACTGTTGGTAATTTTGTCCATACCCCTGTAACCTGGCAGGGTGATACCCAAACCTTCCCTGATTTAGTAGGTGTTGCAGGAATTGTGGCCTAGAAAAGCCAGTTTGTGACTCAGCACAAATTTAGCTTGACACTGAAATGCTGTTTCCTGGCCTACCAAGACCTCAGCCAAATTTTTAGGGTCAGGAAATTTGAAGACTTTCAGACCTTCCGGATTGTGCTTCTGTGCAGCTGGCCAGAGAACCATGGGCTCAGATACAGTCTCGCTTTGCCTGTCAATTTGTGTAACACAGAAATGGGTCCAGGTTCTCTTTTTAGTATTTGTATTTAAAAATTGTGTTTTACTCAGGGTCTCTTTTGTAAATTGTATGATCAAGATTTTCTCTTCAGTCTTTTCCATCTCTTCAACAGATGTTCAAGCAAATGCTTTCAGAAAAGCAGGCCAAATGGGAGCATTACAAGAAGGAGGGCTCAGAGCGGATGACTGAGCTGGCGGATGTCTTTTCAGGAGTGAAACCCCTAACCAGAGTGGAAAAAAACGGTATTGTGGAAGGGAAATATTGGTGCTTGAAGTATTGTGCTTACACATGTTGCTTGAAACTGGAAATGTAGGCTGTGCGAAGAGGCCTACGCTCTCGTGGTTGTCTGTGACATCGTCCTTCTGTCACAGTGCCAATGATGAGCTAGGGTCTCCTTTGGGCCGCTGTGAGCCTTGCACTGTCTTGGGCAGTATCTGAATCTACTCTGGATTTCAAGATTCTTGTCTTAATTTTGAAATGTGACGTTGGGCTAAACCAAGGGTTCTTGAAAACTCTGATTCCTAGATACAGCTTTCAGTCATCTTGTGCCCAACCCCACCATACACACTGCTCACCTGCCAGCTTATGTGCCATTAGGGGAAGCAAAGAGGGGTGTATAGGTCTTGTGGTCATTTCAGAGGGATGTGTCCCCTAAGAATATTAATAACAGCCTACATAAGCTATATTTAACTAGGTTCTTGTGCTGTGCCCTGCCATCTAGTGGCACAACTGGGAAATTCAAACTGCTTTGGAAAGGAAGCTTTAATTACTTGAGTGATTTTTGTCCTGCTTCTTTTAGGAAATCTACAGGAAAATCATGGCATTGCTTCAAATTTTTGTAGATAAGAAATTTTTATTAAGCTCTGAGAGATCAATTTGAATTTTAAGGTGACAAATTAAACTTTTTAAAATGCTTAATATTTATCTTAATTGTCAGATGTTTCCAGTGAAGTTAACTATATAGTAGAATTGCTTCATATAGTGTAACTGTTTATTAAAAAGTTTAACTATTTTTAATCAGTAAGAACTAATTTTTGTATTTTGGCCTTTGTGAATTTCTTTGTGCTGTTTGGTGTGTCTAACATATGTTCCCAAAGTATGCTAGTATTTCTGTTTAAAAAGCCAGTTTTTAGTGATGTGATAGAAGTTGGCCTTATGTTTTACAATCACCCTGTTGTGATGAAAAGGCAAAATACAAGAACCATCTATAACAGTCTGGCCAGATTAGTAGTCTAGAATCAGGCTCATAAATCTCTGCTGTCTCTTCTAGGTTCTCATAAACACAGCGTTGTTCAGGTCATTGGCGTGCTCACTTCCCACTTTTTTTTCTGGTGATATAGTTTATTTCAGTTTAAGAAGTATTTCTGCAAACATTACTCATTTTATTCTTACAGCCTTGTAGAATAAACGTGTGGTGGTGGCTTGGTTCACAGACTTAATTCTTTCCATGATCCTGGTCAGACACTGCCTTGGATGGGAACCGAATCAAATGCAAGTGTTGGGCTGCACATTGACTTTGGGGGTATCTGACCAGTGTCACCTTGCCAGAAGCCTCCCTTTAGAGCACCCTTCCTCACCGCCACTGTCTTTGCTCTGCAGACCACTGTCCCATAGCTGTTGCCCACCATTCTTTCTGATTCCCGTCCCTGGCACCTCTACCTGGACCTATGGGGTACAGTGCCCACATGACCTCAAGCATTTTCTGCTAGGTATTTTAGACTAAGTTATGTAGAAAGTTAATCTGTCCTGCAAAGGCGTACATCCAGACATTTTTATTGTGGTTTAGAGAATTCCTAGAAGCAACATTGGGTACATAGTAAAAATTCTGTTAGTGAGAACTAGGTTCATAAGAGATGACTTAATTAGTTCAAAACCAGAGCTGTAGGAGTCCTGGATTTCACTTCTTGTTTCTGTATTAACAGAAAATCTACAAGCTTGGTTCAGAGAGATCTCAAAACAAATACTGTCTTTAAATTACGATGACTCTACTGCTGCAGGTAGAAAAACTGTGCAACTAATACAGGCTTTGGAGGAGGTAAGGAAAGTCTTCTTTGAATTAGTTTTGGATCATGGCTTGTACCTTAGGACCCCTACCATAATTCGCTCCTAAAAATATATATTAGACAACTTCACCAGAGGCAAAAGTAGTGCACATTAGTATACTCCTTACATCATTGTATGTAGTGTCCTTAAGCTGGACAAATAAGTAACGAGCATCAGTAGATTGACGGCAAAAAAAAAAAAAAAAGCATACTACTTTAACTTGAAGGAGCATGTTGTCTTAGAAAAAGAACCATGAAAATAATTACAGAAGCATTGCAAAATCAGTGATAAGGAGGTAAAAACAAAATTGTGTACACACCATTTTTTAGGTTTGTAAAAAGTATATGAAAAACTAGAAATAAATACACAAAAATGGAAAAAGTTGCATAGTGATCATATGGTTTTTTTTGAAAAAATAACTTTTTTATCTACTGAAAAATGAGGGTACCCAAAATAGTGATTATACCTCACCACTCATAAATTGTTTTTTCTTTTGAGACAGGGTCTCCATATGTAGTCCAGGCTGGCCTTGAACTCCTGGTGATCCTCCTGTCTCAGCTTCACCAGTACTGATGTCACAGGCGTGTAGCACCACACTTAGCTAAATTTTTAAATTTTGCTTTTAAATAAGTTTAAAATGGAAAGTATAGCATGAGAACAAAAACTATAGACTTTATTTAAATATTATCTGTAACCCCATCCAACTGATGTAAGTGTACATTTTTAGAGATTTACAAATACTACTTTTTCATCTGGCAGACTTTCTTAAGGCTTTTATTATTTCTTGGAAGTTTTTAACACGATCTCTAAGTGACAACACAGTCTAATGCCCCGTGTTAGTGTCCCACAGTCTCTCATTCCAAAACAATTACATACTTACACTCTATTCTACTTCTTTGGAGAAGCTTCTACCGACAGCTTCGTTAGTCAGACTCCTTGTGTTTTGCCTGATTTTGACTTGTAGCCCAGGCCTCTTGAGTAACAGACCATGAAAATTTCCAGACATTATTGAAGCACCATTTGATATGAAAGAGTAACTAGAAAGACTTAAGATTGTTGAAGGTACCAGCCAGTGGTTGCAGTGTATCGTGCCGGGGAGGATCCCAGGGCCTTAGGCTTACTGAGAGGTGCTTTACCACTGAGCCATGCCAGCCCTTAAGTTGAATTTTTTTTTTAGCAATGATACATATCTTCAGAAGTAAGATTTTCCAATCTATGTTTATTTATAGTAGAATAGAAAATGGGAGTGTTTGCTTATAGCAGTGTGTGCAAGACAATCCTAAGAATGTGCTTTTTACATATTTCTAAAATTACAATTTGTAATAAAAATTTCATCAAGAGATAGCAATGTGCTTTATTTGAAGTGTTAGAAGAAAAATGAGTGTCTTGAGGCTACTGTGAACTCTCTAAATTATATGTTTTTATATAATACAGGTTCAGGAATTTCACCAGTTAGAGTCAAATCTGCAGGTGTGTCAGTTTCTTGCTGATACACGGAAATTTCTCCACCAGATGATCAGGACAATTAACATTAAGGAGGAAGTCCTGATCACGATGCAGATCGTTGGAGACCTCTCCTTTGCTTGGCAGCTAATTGACAGGTACCATGAAAGCACTGACCACCCTGTTGCAGGCCACTAGGAACAGCTTCTTAGAATTTATTTCTTTCTACAGTTTCACATCCATCATGCAAGAAAGCATAAGGGTAAACCCATCCATGGTTACCAAACTCAGAGCTACATTTCTAAAGGTGAGTAAAATGCAGTGAGATCACTTTTCTGTTACAAGGAGAGAATTGACCTTTATACCTGTGTCATTCATCAGGCAAAGATTTCATCCTTTTAGAAATTGGGTAATTTTAAGTGTTATTATAGACTGAAAACTGTGATCAGTTTTTCCATGAGAGCGTGGTTCCAACAGACACCAGTAAGCCAGATGTGGTACCACATGCCTGTTATCCCAGCACTCTGGGAGTTCAGCCTGGGCATCTTAGCGACTTAGTGAGATCATACCCCAACGTAAAAAACGAAAAGAGATGGGGACGTAGCTCAATGCAGAGGCCTTGGGTTCAGTCGCCAGTACCTCCAAAGACAAAAAAACCAGAAATGCACAGAACATTGTTTTTTAAATGAGTATATTTACTTTAAAATAAGTAAAGTAAAATAAGGTTTATTAGTGGATCAAAAACTGTGAGCCCTTTGGCTTCTTTATTCCCTAAATATGAATTAAATCCTTTTTTTGTTTGTTTTTCCTCTTTGGCTGTGCTGGGGATCAAATGCAGGACCTCCTGCATGCTAGACAAATTAACTTCCTTTTAGAAATTTCCAGTCCAGCCTCTACTACAGGCTGTGTTCTATAGGTTAGGGCATACTGGCCAACAACACAGGCAGGGCCTGTAATTTCAACAATAACTCAGTGTCACCAGAAGTCACCAGGCCTATCAACTCTAAAGTGCATTTTTTTGCTTATTGTATCATCTCTCTGCTGGTAAGTGGATTTTGTTATCAGTGCTATAGCGGAGTGCAGCTGTCAGCATTTCCCTCCTTTCTGAGTCGTACTTCTTACACTCGGTGGCATCTTAGACTTAGATGAGCCCACAGTGCAGCCATTGGCATGTCTGGTTTCCCAGAGGAGGAGTTGTCTCTGATAGCACCTTAGCACTCAGACTAGAATAAGCATCAGAATGACCATAAGGGCTTATCCCAAAGAGGATTGCGGGCCCACCCCCAGATTTCTGAGTCCACCCATCACGGTGGGGCCGGGAAGTGTGCGGGGCTGATTCAGTCACAGGTGATGCCCAGGGACCTCACCCTGATGGCCATCATCATAAGCATCAACCCTTCCTAGAAGCGCACTGTTGGAAACCGTGATACTGATGCAGTCGCATGGTTGTCGTCTTCTGTTGAGTAAACTCCAAGTACTTCTTTGTATCTTATGTTTTCTGGAAAGAGATTTCTGGGCTTCTCTGAACCCCAAACACAGGTGTGTTATTTTTCTTCTAGCTTGCCTCTGCCTTAGACCTGCCCCTTCTTCGTATTAATCAAGCAAACAGCCCTGACCTCCTCAGCGTGTCTCAGTATTACTCTGGTGAGCTGGTGTCCTATGTGAGAAAGGTAGGCCAAGCATCAAGGTGACCTTTGTTGACTAGCAACTGTCTTAATATAAAGGTACACTTGTATTCTTTCCCCTTTTCAAAGTTTGATTCCAGAAGTTTTTATACCTGAAAATAAGCTTATTTTTACTGCCACTGCGGGCATGCAGCTGTGTTTCTACTTTCAAGTCACTTATACCTACTTTTTGCATGGTAGTATTAACGTCCATTTCACAGGGCAGAACTTAAGACACAAAGGTGGTAGTAGCTTCTTCAAATCATAAACTGGTTGGCACAAGAATCAGATGTAGAACCAGCATAGCCTCATCAGAACCCCTTTAAGTTTTCACGGGGATTTTTGGCCCTTGATTCAGTAACTTATGATGGAGCAAAAAGCCAGACAGGCCTGAGTTCCCAGTTAGTCTGTCTGTGTCACATGCTAGCTGACCACTCTCCCTGGATGTTGCTTGACATGTCTGAGCCCCAGCGTAGGAATGGTGCATGTACTTGCAACACATGAGAGAATTAGTTTCATAGTCTATGAGCTATGAACGGTTAAGTTTTCACCATCCCCTCACATAGACGAATTGCTCTCTCTGTACCCCTGTCCTTTGTTAACACTGCTGTCCTAGTATTTGTCAGCTGAAAATGATAAAGAGGTTCTAGTCTGTTTCCCACTTCCGTGTCCCTAAAGGTCCTGCAGATCATCCCAGAAAGCATGTTCACGTCTCTTCTGAAGATCATCAAGCTTCAGACACACGACATCATTGAGGTGCCCACCCGCCTGGACAAAGACAAGCTGCGGGACTATGCACAGCTCGGCCCACGATACGAGGTGCTGCGTCTCCCTGATTGCTGCCTTCTGTCACCGAAAACTAAGCCCCATGAAGTGTGACAGGAGGCGGCACCTGCCATCACCTGGGAACCGCCAGGCCAATTCCAATGTATTACCCTCTAGCAGCCACTGTTCACCGCTTTAGCACAGCCACACCTTTATTCGTGGCGTTTTCCCGGTGTCATCAGAAGCCTGGGAAATGGAGCTCAGCCAGTCGCTTCTTTTGAGCAGTCTTGGAAAGTCCACCCCTGCATGTCTCATGTTCGTGTTCCTTTTCTTTTTGTGCAGCTCCTCCATGACTTATGCGATTGCCCTCAGTTGAAAATACCCTAAATTGAAATGTATTTAATGCACTAATCTCTGAACATAATAGTTTTTTCCGCCTACCTTAAACATGCTCAGAATGCTTATAGTAGCCTGAGGTACAACAAAATTACCTATTCCAAAGCCTGTTTTATAATAAAAGTTTTTGACAGCCCATGGAATTTATTAGATACTGTCCTGAAAGTGAAGAACAGAGTGTTAGTATGGGCATACTTTTGCACCATCATCAAATGAAAAAATAATTAAATTTTAGCCATTTGTTTACCAAACCAGCAGCTCAAAATAATCTAGCCCATTAACCATTGCCTAACTCTAGACTTTTAAGCCCATTTGAGAGTTAAGCAGATTCAGAGCTTGTTCTCACCAAACAGTTCTACTTCTTTCTCCTTCAACTTGAAATTTAAAGATGTGAGAAGTCATGTGAAAACTGAAAATATAATGTCCATTGTCAGCTTCCCCTTCTCTGATGCAGTTTCAAAACATGCGTCAGGAATTTATACGGTTGAGCAGTTATTTCATGTTTATTTTGACTTAAAAATAACAGCATCTGCCTACCTTATCAGTGTCACCTGAAAGGAATGAAGTGCTGTTTTCCAGCTGGTAGCAACCATCCTTACTAAACGTTAGATGTGAAAATTGAAGTCCAAGGCGGGGAGTGCTCTGTCCAGAGTTAAAGAATGGATGAAGACCTTCTGCTTCAGTTACCCAGTGTGTCTAACAGTGGTCTTTCAATGGCACCATAAAACCTTATTTCTGTGCAAGGCAAAAGACGTCAGTGATCTTGTTCCATCCACATGTTCATTTCCTGTTGGCCTCACCCATACTATTAGCCAGTAATCTACCTGTCCTTGGAAGTGGTGAATCTTTTGTCTGCAGTCCTCAGTGTGCCTCTTTCTCTCTGTTAAAGGTTGCCAAGCTTACTCATGCTATTTCCATTTTCACTGAAGGCATCTTAATGATGAAGACAACTTTGGTTGGCATCATCAAGGTACAGTTTGGACACCAGTCTCTGTGGCCTTGTGGTTAGTGGCTTTTGTCTTTCTGGCATGGTGGAATAGGAAGTGATGCTACCATCTTGCTGTTTCACTTCTGACTTTTCTTGATTGGTAAAAGGAGAGAGTATTACCACTTTTATTGTTCATAATACTTGAAGAAATCTTAAGTATAATCTTGGAATTTATCTTATGGTTCTGGAGAAAATTTGTGGTATTAGTAACCATTTTACCCAAGAATTATTTAAATCTAAGAAAAACTCATTTCACTGAATTTCTCTAGAGGCAAAGAGAACAAATGACTTGATTTCCTGATTTTTTTTTTTTTTCTTTTTCATTTTTATCAGGGATCGAACTCATGACCGCCTGCTTGCAAGGCAGGTACTTATGCCACTGAGCTAAATCCCCAGCCCCTGATTTCCTGATTTTAAATTGCTTTCTGCCCTCTCTTCCTGTTTCCCTCTCCCTTCCTTTTAGTATTTTTAGGTGCAGACAGCTAAGATAATTGTACTCTGTTAATAGACTACTGTCCTCACTCGTGCATGCAAGCTCCACTTTCAAATTTTCATCATCCTGTAGGTATAAAGAGAGGTCTCATTGATGCTTTAATGTATAATCCTGTGTTGACTAGTGATTCATGTATATTTTATGGTACTTTTTTATTTTTTCATTTATCTGATATGAGTAGAATCTGAACATTTCTGATTTTTATAAAAATATATAACTATTGGGGATGGGGATTTAGCTCAGCGGCATAAGCGCCTGCCTTGCAAGCAGACAGCTGTGAGTTCGATCCCTAGTACCGATAAAAAAGAAAAAAAAATGTACAAGAAGTATAGGTTCACTTTGGTCAGTAAGACCTACAAGTGAGATACACAGAGATATAAAAGTTCATTGTGAGAGGGAAACAATCTTAAATCAGATGGATCTAAGTATCCTTCAGGAGAGAAAAGGCTGCATCTACCTGTGTCGTGCTGCATCCATGATTGCTCTGCAGTCATTCAAAAAGAATTTGCCACTATCAAGTTCACAAGATAGAAAATTTAAAAAAACAAATAGACCAACGTGTATATTAATCCACTGATGAGTTCACAGCTGAGTGTGCCAGAGGAGGTGGGGCCTGTTGGAGGTGGGTCTCCGGGAGCATGACCTGGAGGGATGCATTCTTGTCCTCTCTCTCCTCCTGGGCTGTGGTGGGTTGCTTCCCCATCAGGCCCTTCCAGTGTGCGGTATCCACCTGGGAGCCAGCCAGCCGCAGACTGAACCTGTGAGCCAGAATAAACCTCTTCTCCTTTGAGGTTGTAGTTGCCTGATAGTTTCTCCCAGTGAAGGTAATGTGTGCGTGCATGCGCGCACACACGTGCACACAAACACACTCACAATGGTCCCATTTGGATTTTGAAATACGTGTATTTAAAGATGAATATATATGAATTTGTGTGTGTGAATGAATAAAAAAAGATCTGAAAGATGCATGTGGAACTGTTAACTGTTGCAGATTCATAGGAAAGGACAGTACGTGTGGAGGTGTGGTGGCATAGACCTGTAATCTCAGTACTCAGGAGGCTGAGGCAGGAGGATCCCTGCAACTTCAAGGCCTACCTGGGCTACATAGTGAGTTCAGGAGCAGCCTGGTCTGTGCAAGACCCTGCCTCAAAAAAAAAAAAAAAAAAAGAAAGAAAGAAAGAAAGAAAGTGAGGAGGAGGGGATTATAAGACTTTACCTATGAGTATTTGGTATTTCTATAGATTAGTGAAAATCCAAAAAGAATTGGAAGAGTCACATGAGACCTTTAGATTCATGAATGCGTTGACTTCTATTTCCCTAAATCTGATAGATATATTAATTGAGGGCTTCACAGATGCTAGGCATGTAGTCTGCCATTGAACACCTATAACATCTGACCCATAAATCTATTCTTAAAAAGATTGTTTCCTTGAAAACTTAATATTACTTCTTTGATTTTATTGTCACTGGTTATAAATTTTTATAATTAACTTTTTGTTTTAAAATAAGACATCCTGAAAATTACTGAAATATTTACACAGTTTAATGGGTTCTTAGAAGGTGAATCCTATTCCACTCATTCTAATCCCTGTGTATATTAACTTTCCCATTGCTGAGACAATACCAGACACATTAATTTGGAGAAGAGGTTTATTTGGCTTGCGGTTTCAAAGGATATGGTACATGGTCAGCTGACTCCAAGGCAGGAAGATCGTGACAGAAGGGCACAACAGAGAAAAGCTGCTTAGTTCATGAGGTCAGAAAGCAGAAGAGGGGAACAGCATCAAAGAGGAAAGCGTGAGGGACCAGATTTTGACCCCTGGGGTCGCACTCCATTTACACACCCAGGAGTGTCCTTTACTAATCCCTTAGGCACCCTAAAAGCTAATCAAGTCGAGAGTCTAGTGTAACCATTCCACCGTGGAAGTTAGGAAATAAAGTTGGTCCCACTCTGTATCCTTCTCATGTGCCCCGACCTAATCTCTGCCTCTGTTTATTATTCGGGAGAAAGTTTATAGATGTGGTAGTTTAGACTTGCTCACTTACGGAAATAATGTATGTCAAGTCTATTGTATGCCATGTTTCTCTACTGTTCCTTTCTTTCTTTCCAGTTGATTTGTTGAAGAACTCAGGCTCTTAGCCTTTAGTTTCTCTGCAAAGTGGATTTGGTTGACTGCATATTCCTGATGTAGGTCCAGTGTGTTTCTCTAGCTTTTGTATTTTCCACAGCTCCCATTACAGTTGTGTCTTGTTTAAATATAATCAAAACCAGATAGAATCTATCAGTTATCTTTACTACTTAAAAGAATGGCTCTTTACCAATTAAAATAACTAGAGGAGCCTGAGGCAATTCAAAGGAGCCTGATAAAAACATTTGATTTGTTAAGGATCTTGTAAACTTTTTTTAAAGAATAACAAAAGCCTTCACATTACAGAGAAATTAACACAGTAAGTTTACAGAAGTAGACAGCATATTCAGGCCCTTATTTTCTCTCCCTGATCATAAATAGCATCATAAGAATGGTGAAAGAAGAGAATTACTCCATTTGGAGTGGCAGAACCCACTTTATATGAACTTAGTAATTCTGTATGAACTGTTAAGGTCAAACAGGGGCAGAAAAGGGTGGAAATACACATCACCTGGAGATAAGTCTGGAAAATATTCCTTTTTGAGACTCCGAAAGTCATCTTTGCTGAGTCTCTCTAGGGCTGGTGTTGTCTTCACTTCCATTTAATGCTTTGGCTTTTGCTTAGGTGGATCCGAAGCAGTTGCTGGAAGATGGCATAAGAAAGGAGCTGGTTAAACGGGTGGCCTTTGCCCTGCACCGGGGACTGATATTCAACCCTCGGGCCAAGGTACACGTGGTCAGTGCCGTCTGTGCTGCTGTGCTCAGCTCAGAAGCAGGGCGAGGGCGCTGTCACGACCAGACCTTTACTCCTGTTGTGTACATCTAGTGTGATTTCAGTACCAGCTGATACATTTTCAGTTTTGTCGGATTCTGTATTCATATGAGAAAATCCTATTTAAAACCAGTGTTTTTTTCCTTTACCTGTTGATTACCAACTTTAAGAATTGAACTGATGTTTATGATTGGTTTCTTTGGTGTTAGTTTGTCTGTTTTCTTTGTGTTTGTTGTTTAGTGTCTGAGCCTTCATGCTGAGCGATAGCCCCAGTCCTTTTTTAAGACAGGGTCTCTTTGAGTCTGTTAAGTTGCCTCAGCTGGGCTCAAACCTGTTCTCGCCAGGTATTCCCAGCATATGCCCCACACCCGGCTCAGTCTTACTTCTTTTAATTAAAAGGATTTGTTCACTCTCAAGAAGAGGAACTAGGGGGCTGGAGATTTAGCTCAGCGGCATACGCCACCTGCCTTGCAAGCAGGCAGTCGTGAGTTCGATCCCCGGTACCGATAAAAAGGAAAAAGAGCAAAAAAAAAAAAAGAAAAGGAACTATAAAGGCCCTTTTTGTTTTGCTTTGTCTATTAGATGTAATAATTTTTAGCAAAAGAAAAAAACAACTTGAATATTGTATAGAGGGTATTTCACCAGTAAATTCAACTTAAAACATCTTATGTATTCTAAGATATGTTCACCAAATGACATGAAGGAAACTATCACTATTCACTTTTATATTCCTGTACATGAGACTTCCTTCCCCTATGAAACATATTCTTCACTGAATACCTGATATCCATTGCTAATCATCCTCTGTGAAGCAGGAAATAAGCATTTCCAAAGTTTAATTACCTCCCAAGCTATAGCCAAGGCCTCTTAGTTGGCATATCATTTAAAGTGTGTTAGGTAGTAGTTGATGTGTGTTAGGTAGTAGTCTACTCCAGTACAGTAGACTTAATTTCCTCTTCCGCACAGCCAAGTGAATTGATGCCCAAGCTGAAAGAGTTGGGAGCTACCATGGACGGGTTCCATCGTTCCTTTGAGTACATTCAGGACTATGTCAACATTTACGGTCTGAAGATCTGGCAGGAAGAAGTGTCTCGTATTATAAATTATAACGTGGAGCAAGAATGTAATAACTTCTTAAGAACAAAGGTAATTGCTAAGTTTTAAAACTCTTAACCCTATTTGTTATGTCTCATGGTTAAAATGCACACCCCAACCTCTGAGAAGCTAACAAGTTTATTTAAGTGGCTAATAAAAATCAGCACCAAATGGTCAGGGTACCTTAAGGTTTCTGTGCACCTGACCTCAGCTTCCCATCGGAAGGAGAAAAGGTCAGATTGAGTGACGACAGAATAAAATGTGTTGCCACAGCCCGAGTGGTGGAGGGTTCAAATGAGTTAGTGCTCTTCAGGCGGGCTGGGCACGTCCTTACTGCTTCTCTGCATGCCCTCTCAGGAGCCACCTCCCTCTCACCACAGCGTCGCTGTCCTCCCTTCCAGCAGAGCCCGAGGATCCACTTTCTTGGCGTCATAACCAGCTCTTGTTATTTCCCCTTCTTGCTTCCTAGTTGGTTTGAGGTGGTGTCTCATCGTGATTTTGATTGGTGCTTTAATGGTTAATGGTGTGGGGCACCATTTTAGGTGCACATTGTCCATTCCTGTATCTTCTTGGAAAAATATCTACTAATGTTCTTTGCCTACAAAAGCACCAAATTTGTAAACTGAAGGCTTAGAGGTTTCTAAGTCTTTTCTTAGTTCATTTTGTCATAGTCGTGGCTTTTAATGTTATAATAATGTTTCTGGGTAGATGCTTGTCACTGTTTTAGAGTTTCCCTCTGTAAGGCCAGTGACTTTTATCCCTCTTCATGCAGTTTTACCATTGTAAAATTATGTGAAGAAAAGATAACTGGAGTCAGTCTGCCTTTTCTAGATTCAAGACTGGCAGAGTATGTACCAGTCCACCCACATTCCAATACCGAAGTTCACTCCTGTGGACGAGTCTGTAACATTTATTGGCCGACTGTGCAGAGAAATCTTGCGAATCACAGACCCAAAGTAAGTGCTTCTGGATTCTGCTGCGCCCCGGATGGTCTGATCTGTGCCTGTGTCGTGTAGTGCACTCCTGCTTCAGTCCGTGGGTTTTGCACTTGTCACCTCATGTCCTGAGCCCTCCAGATGACTTCTTTGGTTCTCAGCCCAGCCTGCAGCCCCGGATGTTGGGCATTCCCCCGTGGCCTGGGCACATCATCTAGGGCTGTGTGTTTCCTTATTACAGCCATTCAGCATGGCAGCATTGTTCTTACTCCCATTCCAAAGACAGAGTGAATAACGGAGCCCCAGGAAAGCGGAGTCCCTGGCCAGCATCCGTTAATAGGTAGTGGACCCAGAACACTGCACTCACCAACCCATCTGCCGCCTGAGCCCAGAGCACCGCCCTGCACTAGGGCAGCCTGCTGGCTTTGTACACGGGGAATCCCAGTCTGCGTTTGGGTCACTTGAGTTCCACACTCAGAGGGCCTGGGTGGAATTCTTAGGATGAATACTGCCCTTATTTATTTGAGGCGGAGTCTAGGGCAGAGCCAGCATGCTGCCTCCCAATCCAGCTGGACTTGTGTTCCTGCCTTTTCTTCTCTGAGCCCAGGCTGAGCCTTGAGGTCTCCTGCAGGAGGGGCAAACTCATGTTGTCCCAGGGCCTTTGCTCCCACCTGGACAGGGTGGGTACCTCTGGGAAAAGGGCTTCTCCTCTTTCTCTGTCCATGGCCTCAGGTGTAGTTGAGTTTGTGTAAAGGAAATGTTCTTACAACCTGGCTCCTTTACACCACTGTCTATCTGGACTTAACAAACTGTGTCTAGAATGTGTTCAGCATTTCCAGCAAAAATAAGAAATTTCATCTGACTCGGGCTAAAAAGAGTAAATGATCCATAAGTTTCTGCAGCTCTTCCTTCGTGTCCATGGGTTAAGTTGCTGAAGGACTTTTACCATGTTTTCCCAAAAGTAAGACTGGGTCTTACATATTCATTTTTGCTCCAAAAGACACTTCAGGTGGGGGAGAGTGGCCCAGCTAAGTTCCAGGCCTGGCCCCCTGTGGTCACATGTAGATCTGTGGATGCCGGGACACTGAAGTTAGAAAGTGCAAATCACACGACCCAAATCCTGGTCAAGGCAACGTCTCTTTAGAATGGATTTCAGGCTGCTCTGGGCTTTTGGTTTGCTTTGCTCTTGTTTTAGAATGACGTGTCACATCGACCAGCTGAATACCTGGTATGACATGAAGACACACCAGGAAGTGACCAGCAGTCGCCTTTTCTCAGAAATCCAGACCACCTTGGGGACGTTTGGTCTGAACGGCCTGGACAGGCTCCTGTGCTTCATGGTTGTCAGAGAGCTGCAGGTGAGCCGGGGCCCTGGGCCGGGTGCTACCAGCTGGCAGTGAGAGCAGATCTGGCTGAGTTCGGTTCTGAACTTTGCTGTCAATGTCAAACATATACAGGTTTCAGAAGAGAAAAGCTGAGCATAAACTAGAATTTCTTTGGTCAGCTTAGTATACATAGGCTGCTTTCATGAGTTTTGACTTGGTAATAAACTTTCTCTTTCGGAAGCCAGTAACGCATCCCCACTGGGTCTGTCTCCAGCGGGAACTGAGTCGTGGCTTTTCTGTGTTTAGGGGCTGGGTGACTTAAGACCGTTTCCACCTTGCACTTGACTTAGCCACAATGTTTATTCATCTGTTCGTTAACTTTGGGTCCTTGATCGTGTTGTCTTGTTTTTAGAACTTCCTCAGTATGTTTCAGAAGATCATCCTGAGAGACAGAACTGTTCAGGACACTTTAAAAACACTCATGAATGCCGTCAGCCCCCTGAAGAGCATCGTCGGTGAGTGTCTGGAGACCAGCCTACAGTGGACAGAACAGTGTTGCCTTTCTCAGGTCACTAAATAGGAAATTATGTTTTAATCTTTCAGCAAATTCAAATAAAATTTATCTTTCTGCCATTGCCAAAACGCAGAAGATTTGGGTCCCTTACCTGGAGGCAATTATGAAGGTATGTAGTGGGAGAGACGATGACAATTGCTATAGATTTGAAGCGATTCTTGTAACCTAATGGCTTAAAGAGAGTTACTTGTCTTTGTCTTTAAAAAAAAATATCAAGCCAGGCATGGTGGCGCATGCCTGTAATCCCAGCACTCTAGGGGGCTAAAGCAGCAGGATCACAAGTTCAGACCCAGCCGGGGCAACTTAGAGGCCATGTCTCAAAAACAAAATATTTAAAAGGTCAGGGATGTAGTTCAGTGAAAAGGTCTTAGCTTCAGTATTTCCAGGACTGTTGTTACCTCTAAATTCGTTTATTTATCTTCCTTTTGGAGGCTGTTACTGACTAGGCTTTTTCTGGCCCTATCTATTCCTCTTTTACTTAGTAAAACCAGCTCCTTTGGAATTGCCTCTGGCTAGAGTGCTTATATACGAGATGGACATTCTTCTTCAAGTCCATCTAGTGAAGTGATCTTTCCTTTTCCAAATCCGAGTCTTCTCTAAGTAGCTGTTAGAGAAGGTGCCTAGATGTTAGAAAGCCAGGTTTTTCTGGGACAGAATTGGAAATGAAGAAAAAAGACCAGCAGATTAGCTAGCTGGGTGGAACCCCAGCGTATTTCAGAATACACTCAGTTGCTTTCCTGCCTTGCGCCATGGTCTACCCTACAGGAGGGAGCTGCTGCCCTGCGCACATCCTTCTTTATGGGTTGATGATCCCAGGTGGCCAGTAGTACTTCACTAGACACCAGCTGTGCACAAGGCGTGTCAGTGGCTGCAGTGACTGTAGAGTTAGTGGAAATGCTGCCTGTCTTGTCACAAAGATTATTTATAGGCTAGTAGGAAGGTAGATTTCCTGGTGAAAAACTAGGATTCATGGTTAAAAGTGTCACAGGCCAGGGGAAGTCCTGAATGCCAAGTTCTAGGCTCGTGTTCCCGGGTGTGTGGCTAGGTACTGAGACTGTACTCACTAGCATCTCAGTGGGGTTTGTACTATGATCCTGCCCATTTCGGGGAGTGGGAGGGTTTTGGTTTGTCTTCACTGTACTTTGGACCGCTGAACAACCAGGCAAAAATACGAGGGGCCTGTGGGTGTGGTCGATACCCTCGTTACGTGGGCCTCATGTCCCCTTAGCTTCCGATTGTCAGTACTGTGTGCTTCTTATTGCTGGACAGCCTTTTAGGAGCAGTAGAAAATGACCTGTGGTTGGCCAGGCCTAAGTCTCAGGGAGGAACACCTAGGGAGACAGAGCCATTGCCTGCAGGGATCCAGAGGTTCCCTGGGCTCACCAGCTGGTTCTCTCCCAGCTACTAGACTGTTATTTATACTTGCTGGTGATTCACTGGTAACCAGGTAACTGTGTCTCAGTCGGTGATCTTTTAATAAAACCCCCAGAGGCAAATTTGCCATTTTCCATGGATTAGGAAATTGGCAGTCCCTAAACCAGTGTTGATCTGGAATGGCAGTGAGAATGTTCTGAACAGTCACACGCAGCTATTACGACACTAAGTGTCAGTAACACATTGTCCTGGACACACAATTCCAGAAAAATCCTGGAGGAAGAGCAGTAGACCAGTAGCCCTAAATAGACACATAAATGGGTAGAATGTGTTTATACCTATCCCAGACTATGTAGTGTCTCTAAGTAGTTCATTAAATCTGGAAGTGCATTAGTAGCAAACATAGAAAATGTTGGTCATGAAGATTTAGTATTGCATTAAGGGAGCACAAGTTATATTAAGGTTTACTTCCATCTCTACATGGATGTTTCTAAACGCTTGACAGAAGAGAGTTAAACAAGAAATTATATGGGCCCCATTCAAAGTTTAAGAGCCCTTTCTGAGTGCCCTGAGAGAGCTTATTTTGTTGGTTTTGCCTTATTTTAATTACCTTTTTCTTTTTTTCTTTTTCTGAGACATGGTTTCCCTACGTAGTTCAGACTGGCTTTGAGCTCACTATATAGCCCAGGCTGGCCTCAAACGCATAGTTGTCCTCCTGCCTTGGCTTAAGTGCCACCTTATTCTAATTGTTAAGTAGTATTTTTCTGTGAGTTAAAAGGTTTCTTATTTATAAGTAGCATTTTTTGGATTGGCTTTTATTTTCTTCATGTAAATGGAATAATAGTATTCTAAGGATAGTGGTTGAAGTTTTGATTACATTCACAGTAGGGCTTCAATAAAATAATTCTTTGAAAAATTACCTAAACATTAAGTATTTTTAATAATCTCTCTTAAATATAAGGTTTATATATTTTACTTTGTATATGTATAAATATTTCATGTCAGTAATGTTCTCTTTCTCATAATGTAATATTTAAACAACCTTGTGGCACATAAAATTTAGACATATGAAAAATAAAAAGTAAATATATATATATATAAAAAAAAAGAATAGTGGTTGAAATGAAAACATCTGAGGTCATTCCGTATTTGTAAGTGCTACTCCATCCATCTCCTTTTATCACTTTTACCAAAGGCTTTACACAGATTTGTTCTCATAAGTAGTTTGATCATTATGTTATATTACAGTTTGGCTTCTGTTGCTAATCTATTTTATTTTGCACAAATGTTTACATTATTCTGAGATGGTGTTTGTGGGTTCCACTAGACTCCCTAAGGGCTTCAAGGCACACAGAGAAATTGGGAACCTTGGATTAAGATCCTCATGGTTAGCGGGGCCTTCTTGGACCACTGTATTAGGTTCCTCTAGACAGTTACTACCCTGTAGTTGTGTGTGGTGTGGACCGACCTCTTCCTGAGTGAGAGACTGCTGAGGTAAAGGGGCATCCCTTGGACCTGAGATGAAGTAAGGCTTCGCATAGCAGCCACTCAGCTGCAGAGTTTGTCCTCAAAGGACGAGATGTAGCTTGGAGACCGATACCTTGCGTTCACATGAAGAGCTAAACACTGTTGGATCACTGAGTAAATCTTAGCTTTGGGGCTGTTTTGAGGCTGGCATGCAGCAAGCGAGAGAGGCTCCCGTTCCATCAGGGCAATTCGGTCTTGGCCGTGGAGCCCAGCAGGGAGTCCGTACAGAATTCTGGAGCACAAGGACCTTTCCCATGGACACTTGGCCTCTGTTTGCCTCCTTGCTGCCGGTTCAAAGCACTCAGGTGTATTTCTTCTCTTGCTCTTGCTGTTCACAGGTTGGGCAGATGCAGATTCTGAGGCAGCAGATTGCCAATGAGTTAAATTACTCTTGTCGGTTTGACTCCAAACATCTGGCGGCTGCTCTGGAGAATCTCAATAAGTAAGTGCCAGAGTGTGGTTTGGATTGTTCATCATCGAAGCACCCCAGTTTCTTCACTTCTTACTCTTTTCAAGTTTGTTTTGGGGAAGAGATTTCTGACTTGTTTGAGCTCTTCTCTGAATTTCTTGACCTCTTTTCCACGGATTTGGGGGGAAAAAAATCTGTCTTCAGAAACCTCTTCCCAAGTATTCTTACTTTTTTCTAAATGGAGTTTTTTGATCTGCCAGCATATATTGATCACCTGATACACCTCAGACACTGCAGTAGCTTCTTGGCATGGATTTGGAAAAGTTACCCAAGTCCTGGCAGACATCTGGTTACTCTGAGGGCTTGCTAGCTCGTCTGACCATCCAGAGGGCAGTGGAGGGGAGCTGGCCATGACCAGCAGAGGCTGGGAGCACAAATGCCGTCTCCTCCCCAGTGCCTGCTGTCATTTCCAGCCGTCTCCTGAGAGCTGAGCAGTGGCAGGAAGTCAGTGCTTTTGACCAAGTAGGTGTGAAGAGGTCAGCAGTGCATGAACATTTGAGTGGCGAAAGCATTTTTTTAGGTTGACTCCAAAAGATAAAGCAATGCAAGGTCAAACTTTCTACTTTGATGCACTCACAGAGGTGAAATGGAGCGGCTGGGGAGGACCAAGCCCCCATCTCACAGATGAGGAAACAGCCCCTGAAACTGACCGTCACTGACCTGTGTTGATGGTTATGAAAATTCAGCTAATCATTGTGTTACCACTGGTTTTTCTGCCACCTAGGGCTCTCCTGGCAGATATTGAAGCCCACTACCAGGACCCTTCACTTCCTTACCCCAAGGAAGACAACACGCTCTTGTATGAGATCACGTCCTATCTGGAGGCAGCAGGCATCCACAACCCGCTGAACAAGGTTAGTGAGAAAACGTGGAACGGTGTGGCAGAGGGCAGAGTGGTGTGAAAGGTGATCTGGCTGCACCAATGGGTTACTGGAGAAAGGCGGGGATCTCGGGCGCTGCGGGCCCCACTGTTGGTCAGGCTCCCTCCCCTTTCCAGGTGCAGATCCACCCATGCCGCCTGCTTAGGGCTGTGAGAAGCAGATGGTGTTGCATGGTCAGAGCTTGCAGGAAGCTGCCAGCACTGTGGTGGCAGAAGAGACGAGCTGGCGGGGGCGCTGCCCTCACAGCTGTGGCCACTGCCCTGCACAGTGGGCTGCTTGCCTGTCCTGCAGGGCAGCTCTGGGCCCTTCCTTACTCGAGTCCCAGATCTCACAGGTGGCTAAACCGGCTCTGAACTGATAGACACAGGGTGTGCTCACTCGTTAACCTCCTTATTCTGAGTATTTTTTCCTTTCATGCAGAAACAGGCTGGGTTTGCCTCAGGGTGTTGTCCTGATGGCTTTCTGAAACCTGTGAACTCAGTGCTGTCCATGTTGATGTCTCTGGTTGTGGGTGAGAGGACAGGCACCCGACGCTGCTAAATGGATACTTAGCGCTCACCCTGTGCCCAGTCCTTGTTAGCCCAGCCCTGGTTCCTTCTCCGCAGCCCACAAATGCTGGCCCTGGGAGCACGCCAGCTCCCCGGCTGGCTCCGTGGCTCTGCACCCCAGCCTGCTAGGGGGTCTGGAGCCAGCTGGGAGAATGGATGTGGCTGCCAGTGTCCACCTTCTGCCATGTTGTCTAGAGGCAGCCACCCTGCACATTGCCAGGGGAGAGTGGGCCGCTGGCAGGACTGGGCTGTCTTGCGTGCTAGTTGTGTTGTCACTCACTACTACCGGGACCTCCCCCTGTTCCCCTCTCCTTGTCGACCTCTTCTCTTCACCCAGTTCCCTGCCTTAGTGCTTCTCTCTAGATACATCTTCTTGGCTACCTTTTTTTTAACCCACGGCCTTCCTTTTGAGCCAGATCCTCAGAATTGTTTTTATTGTAAGACAAGATCTTGCTTAGTCTTCATGTTGTTCAGGCTGGGCTCAAACTTGTGATCCTCCCAAAGTGCTGGGGTTAAATGTGTGCCCCACATACCTGCTCCTTGATTACTCTTAATTTTGCTGTCTCCTCCCATTCTTGCTCACTACCCCTGTCTCCTTTCCCTTCTTTGATGGTGTTAACAAAGTTCAGAGGGAAGGAACTAGTCACCTCTCAGCAAAGTACTTTTCAGAAGGGCTTGACTGTGCTACAAGCTTTTACACTTGGACGAAGCCAGACGTGTTAAACAGAACTCTGAAGACAGTTAATTTAGTAATGTTTTAGGTAGGCTGAAAAGCAGACTGGAGTATATTGAAGCTTTTCACTTAAAAATATTTTCTGTGTTGTTGTGTAATAAGAGAACACCATCAATTTTTCTTACCTTTCTCTTTTCCAGATTTACATAACAACAAAACGCTTACCCTACTTCCCAGTTGTCAACTTTCTGTTTCTGATTGCTCAGCTGCCAAAACTTCAGTACAGCAAAAACCTCGGTACTGTATATATAATATTTATTCTTTTCAATAAGGACCAGAAGTAGAGGAATGTTTAAATGTGAGGTCTTTGTGTAGTTAAATGTATCTCTGAAATCCATGGTTTTGGGCCTCTAAAATGAGACACCCCTTGGTGAAATGTAGAGAGTGAACTTAAGAATCAGCCAAGTGGAGCCTCCCTTTCTGAGGGTTAATGACCCAATCTGTGGGATGTGTGAAGGATCTTTCCTCTCCTTTTTGAGCAGCTAACTATGGTATGAAGAGGCTTCTTCTATGTTCTATTCCTTCAAGTGCCATGAGCCCCCTCTGTAAGACGAACTATGATATGAAAATAGTAACAACAAGCTAAAAATAAAAAATGCACAAAAAGCAACACAAGAACATCTAAAAACAAGGAGATTAACCAGTATATGAGTATCTTTTAATATGCATAGGGTAGCATATCACCTGTTTGATAGAAACATTAGATATGCTTTCAATGCCTCTGGCCTATGTATAGCTATCGTTTTCTGTCAGTGATAATTATAACAATGTTTAAAACAAACTGAGTAGGTTCCCAAGTAATTTCTGTGTCTCCAAGCATAGTGTCCAACCAAGCAGAAACTTTTAAATCCACTATCGTGTTCAGTTCATTTAAAAAGCAGTAGAAGAGTGAGAGCATTTCTAACAATGACACTTTTTTCTTAACCAGAAATTCCAAACTGTGTTTCTTCCTTAAGGTGTTTCCCTTCCTAGTTCATGAGCTTCAGAGGGTAAAATGTAGCGTCCTCACTGCTCTTATCCCTCATTCAAACACACTTGCCCAGTGTACACATGTTCTGGCGCTGCCAGCAACAGTGGCACCAGGGAGGAGGAGCAGACTCAGTGCACCACGTCCAGCCCCATCCAGGGTCGAGTCCGGCTAAAGGACACCCAGAACGATCAGAAAAGTGTGTCCGAAGGTGCAGAGAGCTGTCTTTCCTCTCAGCGCTCCTTGTGTCTCTACTCAGTAAGACTGTTTCCCCACACACGGGCTTCTCTGCTCGTTTTCCTAGTGGGTAGTTTTAACGTTGATGACACCCAGCTTACTCACTCATAGTGGTACTTCCTGGGTCCTGTATGTGAAAGCTGTGTCCGCCCAGGGTGACAAAGATGCTCTCCTAGGTGTTCTTCTGAGAGCTCTGTGGTTTTGGCTGAGGTCCGGGTCTGGCTTGAATTACTTTGAGGACAGGGTTCAGGGTGTGTTTGTGCTCAGAAGTCATCCAGTTTCAGTAGGTTTGTTCGAAGGATTTGCCCACTAACTTGTTTATTATATTGGTGGACACCCAGATAACCACATAAGACTATTATTTCTCGGTTCTATTTCATTCCATTCTTCGTTGTCCTATGCCAGTGCACTCTTGATACTTTGATTTGATGGTGAGGTTGAGCACAAGCAGTGGAAGTCTCCCCACTTTGTATCAGCATCCCCCCGAGGCCCTGCACTCGTCCCCTGTGTCTGGTGCTGCCAGCCAGGCAGAAGTCAGAGTCTCGACGTCCACAGAAACCCGAGTTCAGAGCCAGCTCGGGCACTGGCGCAGGCCTCAGGTTTCTTCCCTCAGCCGTTCCCCATCTGTGTTTAAAGGCTCTAGAAAACACTCCATCCAGAATTTCGGTTGCTTTCACTTAGGAGAGCAGTTCGGGAGCACCTGGTGTGTCAGCTGCAGGCATCTCTGACATTCTCACTGCATCTGTCCCTTCCTTAAAGTCCAAAAGAAAGAGGAGTCCCATGAGTGCCCACTTATTCTCATCCCTTCCACCGCTGGAGAGTCCCCACCAGCCACGGGGCTGACTCCAGTCACAGTCGCAAGTCGTCACCCCTCCCTCTAGACACCTTGACGCTCGTAAGATGAATAGTAACAAATGCTGCCAAGGTGGGCTTCACTCAGGCTGTCGTGTGTCCCCTCCTGCAGGCATGGTCTGCCGCAAGCCTGCCGACCCCGTGGACTGGCCGCCACTCGTCCTGGGCCTGCTCACTCTGCTGAAGCAGTTCCACTCCCGGTACACTGAGCAGTTCCTGGCGCTGCTGGGCCAATTCATCCGCTCCACAGTGGAGCAGTGTACGAGGTATGGGAGACGGAGCTGAACGTCCAGTGCGGGCCCCGACTGCGACTGCCACGGGCCTCTTCAGAGACAGGCAGGGGCTGCTTCTCTGTCTGTGCAGTGGGGTGGACTTTCAGGGGTTCCCAGGAATGATTGTGCCTCCACTCAGCAGCCACCAGGAGGAAAACAGAGCTTCCTCTCCCCCTGCTGTCTTGGATCAAACTACCAGGCCTCAAGGAGCTCCTGCTGGGCCACTGCCCAGAGCTGGTCCCCTTCGGCAGGCACGCACGTCCTCTCAAGGCCACACACTACACTACTGAAACTTGAGGGTGCCGAGTGCCACTTAGAACCAGCTTGTCTGGGAACATCTTGCGCGGAGGTCTCACTGCCCTTGAGATGGCACAGGTCCCTCCCTTGGCGATACCTCTTCTGGTTTTGATGGAACTGTTGCTCAACCTTTTAAATGAGCACCTTCTGCCTGTCCCTGGCTGCATTTGTGGGCAAGGTTGGGTCCCCAGGTTGGGGACCTCTCAGGGTTTGTGTTGCCCATCATAAAAAGCAGGTGTGGCTTTGGCATTCTCTGTTCATCCTGGAGACTTTTTCCTGTGAACTATAGTGAGGCCTGGTTTTCCACGTTAGGTAATGAGTTGAACAGATACTGGATGTTTTTCTAGGATACACGATCAGACTTACTTCAAAAAGCAGGTTTTCTAAACAATTGAATCATAGAAGAGATCCCAGCAGGACAGGAAACTGTCAGAGATCAAATTGCAGGGCCAGGGATACAGCTTAGCAGTATAGTACCCGCCTGGCAAGTGTGAGGTTGTGAGTTCGATTTCCAGGCAAAATAAATAAATAAATAAAAGCAAGATGAAATTGCAGTAATCATCATGGAACGAGTCATTTGGAAAGCAGAGCGTCGGGCCCCAGAGGAGGTGAGGACTCCAGCTGGCATGGTTAGAGTAGGAGGTGATTGCCATGCATCTGGCCACCACCAACCATGGTTTCCTGTCTGTCAAGCACTGGCAAGCCCATCTTCCTCTTTAGAGACTGTAAGGGCTAGAGCCCTGCCAGGTGGTACGGGCCTGTAATTCCGGCATTCTAGGAGGCTGAGGCAGAAGGTTTGCAAGTACAAGTCCACCTGGGCAACTTGGGGAGATGAAAAAGTCCAGCACTACAAAAAACCAGTTGAAGTGCGGCACTGTCTAGCGTGTTGCTGGCAACCTGTGAGTCGTCAGCAGGGAGAGGAGCACGTAGGTCAAGGATTATGCCTGAGCAGCGCAGAGGAACACAAGGCCCCGGGTTTGTGGACTCACGTACATGAGCCCCACTGCTGCCCCTAGCGGAGCACACCCATTCTGGCCCAGCCCCTGGGGTTGGCACAAGCAAACGTTTCCAGGTGCAGCCTCTGCTCACCTTTGCAAAAGCAACAGACCCTCTGAAAAGCAGGTCAGTAATTCAGTACCGTATGGCCCTTCATTAACTAGAAATGCCAGGCGGTACATACATTGGAAATAGGCTTGACACCTAGAGAATCCTTTGAGTAGAAACAAGAAGGGGTGCTGGCTCTGTCGGGACGCAGAGGTGCCCCTGCTCTACAACAGTGTATGATATCACAGTCAAAAGAGTGAAGGCTCGCATGGGTCCCGTAGAACTGTCAGGTGCTGTGTTTCCTTAATGCTCTCAGAGACACTACAGTCCCAGATCCTGGACTCACAAGAGTGAAGCAAAACCCAGGCTTTCCAAGAGTTGTGCTCTAAGAAGCTGGCATAGAAGAGCTGAAAAGGGAGCATCTTGGAGAAAGCCCCCTTGCCCAGGGCAGTCGGGGGAGGGGGCTTCAGGGAGGATGCAGTGCCCAAGCTGGAACTTGAAAATGTTCGCATTCAGGGAAGCATGCAGGACGGACTCGGCTGCCACCACTGGCGAGTGAGAGCTGGGATGCTGCACATGAGACAGTTAAGTACAGCAGAGTGGTGGTCAGGCTGTGTTCTCCAGGGCAGGCTCCTGAAGATGTGAGAGCAGGGTAAACGCTTGGTCAGAATCAGGAGGGCGTCCAGTGGAGCTGCTCGTTGAGTGTTGTAGTAATCCATCTTCACTGTTTGAGCTGAGGTCTGTCACATGCCAAGCAGGGAACTGAGCCTAGCCACTCTCCATTACAGCCAGAAGATACCCGAGATGCCTGCAGAAGTTGTGGGCGCCCTCCTGTTCCTGGAGGACTATGTCCGGTACACCAAGCTCCCCAGGAGGGTAAGAACACACAAAAGAGCTGCTTGCACATAGATGGTAACGTAGGGACCTGCGGGAAGTGGAGTGGGTAAGGTGAGCACCGCCCCTGCTGTACCCTCCCCTCCACCCCACTTCCCTCCCGGGCCCCCTCTCTGCAGTGCCCTCCTCCTGCCCACGCTCAGGCTGACATGAGGAGATTCCTAACTGCACCTCTGTACATCCTTCTTTCTCCACCCACCTGGCACCACAGCCCCTGTGGTTAAGCTCATGCCACACGCAGAGCTACAGGTCATTGCTTCATAAAGTGAGAGACTACTTTTTACCTTCTAAGAGATCCCTTTTCTTCCCTTCCTCAGTACTAGTCCCACTTACCAAAATGTAAAATATAGACTTTGAACAGATGCTGAAGTCATTCCAAATTTCTTAAAGTAGACAAAAAGTTGAAGATACTTCTCTACATGGATGTCAAAGACCATTTCTTCAAAATGAAGCAGCGGTGTATACTTACTAGAATGACCGTACTTTTTTACTGGAGTCAGGACTGTGAAAGTGAGATGTAACACTGCTTCTCCTGGTACTGGTACAGGGTGCAAGGCCACGAACAGAGCCAAAGTGCAGTGGTGTGGGAACACTAAAATTTGTGTTACATGTTGAGAATGTAATTGTCTTCTTTGAATACCTACTAGAATCAGTGACGTATTTAACAAGTACAGAATGAATTACAGGAAATAGAATAAATACACAAAATAAGTACATCAAAAAAAAAAAATACAGCTAGGCAGAGTGGTGCACACCTGTAATCCCAGCACTCAGGAGGTTGAGGCTGCAGGACCCCTGCAAGTTTGAGGCCAGCAAGGACTCCATAAGAGATTTCAAGGGAAGGCTATACTACACAGTGAGACCCTTCTCAAAAACAAAAACTAAACCCATAGTGTGGAAAAGTTCTCACTCACAGAAATGATAAGGATATAGCATAGTTGGGAATGCCCTTTTTAATAAGCCTAATGGACTGATTTAGGGAAGAACTAAAGTTTTAAAACTTTCTGTTATGAATGAGGAGACTGCACACTATGCCCATACCAGTTCTTTCTAGTTTGAACATTTACAGTGCTTACAATCGAAATCTCAGATAGTTGTTGAGTTTGAGCCCAGGACCTTGCACATGCAAGACAAGTCTACCTGTGCTTCTTTGCAATTTTGAGACAAGGTTCCAAACTTGGCAGTCCTCCTGTCTCAGCCCCCACACATACTAAGGATTACAGGCATAAATCCCACCATGCTTGGTTCAGGTAATTTTTTAACTTAAAAGTTTTTTAAAATTTGATAGAAGTAGGATTATAAAGGACTATTGTTAGAAGAAAACATTGAAAACATACAATTAAAAGGCATTGTAAAACTACGAAAATCAAAATAGTATAGTACTAGTGTAAAACTGAACAGCAGGCTCAATGGACGCAATGAGCAGCCTTGACATAACCTAGGAGAGGCGCACAGCTGTGTGGGGCAGCAGCACCGCGGCCTCGCGGCAGGGCGGGCAGTGGCAGTCAATGGCCCTGGGACACAGTCCCTCCGGGGCTGAGGGTAGCAATCAGTCCCTTCACACCCGCACACAGACAAACAGAGTGACATATTAAGCAGGTAACTAGCAGAAATTTTAGACAAATGTATGTCACTTTTTAGGGCAACCAGAGGGAAACACTATAAAGGAAAAGATTTAGTGTTTAATGAAATGACAAATGTAATTAATTCTTTGTCAGATGTCCAGACTAAAAAATAAGAGAATCACAGCAAAAGACTAATTTCCTTGATTTACATTTGCTATTCCAAATCAGTAAGAAAAATATTACCAGTCCAGTAGAGGGAGAGGGCCACAGGGGGTCAGCAGGCAGTGTCTAGGAGCAGCTTGGTCCACCTCCCTTGGGTGCCAGCCAGTGTCTGAGAAGTGACCATTTCCACCCAGTAAAGGGAGACTGTCATGGGTGACCCCTCAGGGGGTAGTTGCGGGAGTGGGAATTGGCTGAGCCTCTGAGGGTAACTCAGCCTCATCTATTGTAAAGACTCTGGTACTATACTTACCCGTTCCAGCACCTCCCTGCTGGTTCCCGCCAAGCCTGACCAAGAGAGGTGAGAGGAGGTTGGTTTTGTGGAGGTAGGAGTGTGTGGAAATGGGAAGAATTCAGTTTGAACAACCAGTTCTCCTTTTCTGAAGGAGATGAAAATCAGAGATGTTATTTATTTTTTACTCATCTGCATTTTCTAAATTTCCTCTAACAGCCTTCATAATCAGAAAAAAACTGAACTGCTCATTAAAACTGCTCATCTGCAGCCATCAGAAGCCATCCAGTTCCACTCCCAGCCCATTCTGGGGTTCTCAGGGTCCCCCACCACAGCCAAGAAGTGCATGTCTCAGAGGACTTTCCTGCCCCTCCCCTTGCCTCAGTTTCCCCATGGTCCCCTCCAGACACCCTACTGGGCTCAGTGTGGTCAGTCCACGAAGGCTGTCACATGGCTCCCAGGCGTCTTGGCACCCCTGACGGCCAGGACACCTGGGTGCTTACGTGTTCAGAGTTGGACAGAACGGGACACAGGACTGGCTGCCAGAAACTGCCGCTGTCCCCAGCGGGCCACTCCGGGGAGTCCAGCCGTCCCTGGGCCCCCTTGCTCCATAGAAGAGCTCGAGTTCTTTCACTCTCATGAGGGAAAGTCTACACTTGCTAATGCTGAGTAATTAAGCCCTTCCATTTACTGTTTCAGGTTGCTGAAGCCCATGTGCCTAATTTCATTTTCGATGAATTCAGAACAGTCCTATAACTTTTTTCTCCTACGTTTTCAATGAAGAGATTACATCTTCCCCTCACTGAAGTGGATTTGAAACTGAAAAGAAACCCAGCTGCCCTGGGACTGTTTTCCCTCACCCTGGAAGGCGCGAAACACCCTGAGGAAGTTGCCCCACAGCACTGGCCCATCGTGGTGTTACCTGCAGTTTACATCACATGGAAGCAGAACACGGTTTTCCTGAAAGCGAATGTTAAATCCATTTAGTTTTATGTTCTAAAAAACTATTTGTGCAACTCAGTTTTTCAGTAAAATTGTGTTGCCCTTACCCAAGTTGTCTTTCTGTTTTTGTTTTGAACATGTCTGTTCATCCAGGCATGGTGTGCATGTGTGTAACCTTAGTGCTCCAGGAGGCTGAAGCGGGAGGATCCCAGTTTAGACCCCAGCCTCATAACTTAGTGACTTGGCAAGACTGTCTCAAAAGAAATAAAATGGTTGGGTGCAGCTCAGTGCCAGGGCCCTGGGTTCTGTCCCCAGTATTGCAAAAAAGCAGAGTATTCACCTGGGAGGCAGCACTGAGGCGCAGGGTGGCAGGGTGCAGCCGGCACGCTGCAGCTGCTCTGGGTTCTCCACCTGCACTGCTTCCAGACCTTCCACTGCAGTCTGTGTCCGCCCCAGGCCCCAAGAGCATATCCGTACGCTTTATTTTTTCTTTGTTTTGTAACAGTTTGTGTCTAATACGCATTTAACGCCCTCAAAACCCTAACTACTCCTTCTGTAAGAAAATTACCAAGGGGTCTCACAGTGGCAACTGAGGCATGTCAGCAGTCTAGATGAAAGCCAGCTGTGTCCTCCTGGAGAGAGAAAGAGGACTAAATGCTTACAGTTGGCATTGTACACAAAGCCCAAGGGCCCATGTGCTCGGGGCTTGGTGTCCAGGCCCGGCTCTCAAGACAGTGGTGGGACCTTCAGGACACAGGGCTTGCAGGTCAGCTGAGTTGCTACAGGTTGCCCTTGGAGGAGTATTGGGACCCTGACCCCATCCTGCCGTTTCCTTTGCTTCTCAGCTGTCCTAAGGCAAGCAAACTTCTGCCATGTCTCCTGCCACCGTGTGACCATGGTCTGAGACCTCACACCATGAGCCACAGTAAGCTGACGACCCCAGGATTTAGCCAGAGCAGTGGAAAGCCGAGCAGCACGCCAAGCCTAGATCTAAAAGTGCTGGGCAGTCATTTAGCAAGGTGCCAGGCAGGGCAAGCTTATGGTTGCCAATAGCTAAACACGCTCCAGGCCAGCCTGTTCAGATCATTGTAAAATCTGTGCCCAGTGACTATTCGGTTCCTTCAGGCTCCCAGTTTTAAAAGTTTTCTTTTTGTTGGAAGGCTTCAAATCCTGAGGTAGAGAAGGGATGAGGAGGAAGAGAAAAAACAGCACAATGACTATAGTTTTTCAGTATTTCACTGTCACAGTGAGAATGATCCTATAGGAGTCAGTGGAGAGGGAGGGAAGCCTCAGTCCAGGAATGATGAGGTGGTCTAGCCTCAGGACAGGACCCTTCAGACGGGACCAGCTTAGGCCTCCTCCTGACTGAGCTCCACCAGCGTGCCCTGCACCCGACCAGGCTTGTGGCCCATGGGAGTGAATGTCCAAGCTCGCAGCTCCTGCAAAGCTGGTGAGCGGAGTGGCCATGGCGCACATGTTCCATCCACTATCACTTCAGTGGTACATCAAGGAGGTGAGGCATCCAGGGGTTTTTCTTCAGAAAATACAGGTTCAGGGCAAGGCAGAGGGGACTCTTGTGACACTGAGTAAATGTATCCACCTTGTGCGCTGCTGAAACGAGGGATGCCAAAAACTGATTCTGTAGTCAGTTGGCCAGTGAAACACTTCCTCAAGTGAAAGACAAACATACAAATTCCAATACTTTTATTGTAAATGTTAATTTGTTTGTTGGGGTCAGTGCCTAGATTCCCAATCCCCTAAATGGGTGCATGACGAAGGCTCAAAGGAATGAAACAAGCAGCGTGGTCTTCAGGGCTGTAGGCCGGGTGAGATCCTCCACAGAGCTCATAACTGCTAGCGGGCAGGACTGGCCCTGGGCAGCCTGTATTTAATCAGAACAATCAAGGAGTTGAGTGGAAAATGCAGGAAACCAGAGCAGGATCTTGGGAGAGGTTCTAGGACCCCTCAGCAACAGAAGATGCTAATTAAGGAAAACTATCCAGAAAGTCTCCAGGTGGCCCCCCGAGGTGTCTGCTTGTTTGTAGGGAGCTGAGCGACAGACCATTGCTGCCTCTCTGCCTCTCTCTCCCCTATGGGTACTGCATCTGCCTACATTAACCATAATACTCTCCTGCTTATGTCACATACCCAGACGTGACAGTGACCCTGTTGTATTCATCCCCATAGCCTCTTCCTGTCCCACCTCCCGCCCTTGGCCTATAAAAGATGTAATCACTTCCGGAATAAACTGGGGGCTTGATTGGATTCTCTCAACTTGCTTCCACCTCTCTTTGTCTCCCCTATGTCTTTATTTAATCCCCATTCTGCCTCCAGGTATACCCCACGGATTGATCCACGGGCCAGATCAAGTGGCGCCCAACGTGGGGCCCCGCACGGAGAAGTCAATGAGGGAGCCATTCGAGACAGCTGACTTAAACTGAAAGTAAAAGCAAATTGAACCAGAGACCACGGCGAGGAATGAGCAAACTGAATCAAGGATTAAAGCTAAAAGCAACAGGACATTAAATCAAGTACTGAGGCCTGTGCAGACAACTACCTGGCGTGCCTGCCTGAATCACGGTGAGTGAACAGCAATCCCATTCCCTTTCCCGGACATGGGTCAAGCATTGAACGAACACAAAGTGTTCGTGGGAGGCCTTATAAAGGCATTCAAGACAAGAAGGGTAAGGGTTAGAACAAAAGAATTATTGCAGTATTTTCAATTTATCCATAAGGTTTGCCCTAAAGGGTTCTATAGATACCAAGAGGTAAAAAAGAGTAAGAGATGCTTTAAAAGACTATTATAGAGTTTTCGGTCCGGAAAAAGGTTCTGGTGACCACCTTTGCATATTGGAATTTAATCTCTGAGCTGCTTGTCCAGAGGCATGCAGATCCTCAGATTGAGGAGACAGTCGCACAAGGCCTTATAGTGCTCCTAAGATAGCACCGGCCTCCGGCAAGCCTCGTGGCGCTCTTAAAATGGCGCTTCCCTCACTTACGCCACATCAGTGTGGGTCCCTCCCCAAAATTGCGTTTCCAGTGACAGAAACAAACATACTTCCCCAAGATGGCGCTGTAGAGCCGCAAGACGGCATGGGTGCTGCGCCGCTAGCTCCATGAGTCATTAGGACACACACGCCATTCACAGTGGCAACTTTAAAAAAATTAAAGACAACGGTTGCCCAATATGGCCTTACAGCTGCTTTCATTCTTGCTGTTTTAAATTCTCTGGCTGACGGCTGGCTCACACCTACAGATTGGCAAAGATTGGCCCAAGTGACTTTATTGGGTGGTGATCATCTTTTGTAAAAATAAAAATATACAAAAATTACAAAAAGACCGCTAGACACAATACACAGGCTGGCAATAGGTGGAACCTTAATATGTTAATAGTAAGAGATGCCTATGCCGGCAGAGAAGCTCAAAAAGAGTTTAATCCAACACTTTTCGCTCAAATTCAAACAGCAGCTACCTGAGCATGGAAAAAGCTGCCTACAAAAGATAATTTAAACTCCTCTCTCACTAGTATTAAGCAAGGCCCAGATAAGGCCCTTTTCAGAGTTTGTTGATTGTTTGATTGCTGCTGCTAGTGGAGCCTTTGGCCACGCTAATGCAGGCACTGATTTTGTTGAACAGCTGGCTTTTAAAGGCGCCGGCACTATCTGCCGGGCCGCTGTCAGACCTCAAAAATAAAACAGGCCTAACAGGATATATACACCTTTGCTAAGGCTGCTGCCTTGCAGGGGTTTGCAGTTGGACAGTTCTTGTCTCAAAAGCATGAACAGGACTGTTTTGCCTGTGGAGAGAAAAAGACTCTAGAGATAGAGATTCCAATGTCAATTACTTTGACTCATTTTACTGATCGGAGTGATATTGGTTTAGTCTCTTAAGTTTAATTTCAGCATATGTAAGGATGGGGACAACTGCTAAAAGGAGAATGAGAGACACTATGGTAGTTATTATTGTCTTCTCCAATGTCAGATCTTAAAAACCTGAGAAGCCTTCATCATCCTGTAGTGATTTGATTAGTTCTATAATATGCAGTGTGTATTTAATGTGCTTAAAGAAGGGCACAACTGTTTGGAGGAAACTAGAGACAATTAAGTAAACAGTAAAGATCTCCAGTAGACTTGCTTTCAAATTTGTATTTCTTTAAATCTTTTTTTAAAAAACTGTTTTGTTCTGTTTTGGTATGTTTGGTCTTGCCCTCTTTGAGATAAAAAACAACTGTATAGGACTGATAACCATATTACTAAGTTTTTGTTGGATCATTGAGCAGAACTGTTGACATTGTTACTGTTTAAATGTCACTTTACATGCTTTAATTTTGTAACCTGAACAGCTATTTCTAAGATGACAATATGTAACTTATTAACTGTTGATTTCTTACCATTTATTTTTCTGTAATTCTGTATTAAGATCCCAAAAAAACAAGCCAGACAGATAGTAAAAAATTGCCTTTCTTGTGCCGTGCACCTCCCAGTTCCACACTTTGAGGTTAATCCTAAAGGACAGTCCTCAATACATTATGGCAAATGGATGTCATCCACATTCCTGAGCTTGGCAATCTTAAATATGTTCATGTAACTATAAATATCTTTAGTGGTTTCATTTACATCTCTCCCCAAACTGGCAAAGCTACCAAACGTTATTAGCCATATGTTAACTACCTTATCAGTTTTGAGATGCCCACAACAATTAAAGACTATGGTCCAGACTATGCTAGTTCTGCCTTTGCTCATTTCTGTCAACATCTTAATATTGATCATATAAAAGACATACCTTATAACTCTCAGGGTCAAGGCATAGTTAAAAGGGCACATCTTTTCCTAAAACTCACTGTTGATAAAATAAAAAGGGGGGAATGGTACTCTACAAGGAGGACACCTAAAAATATTCTATCTCATGCCTTATTCATCCTTAATTTTTTAAATTTGGATGCTTCTGGACAGTCAGCAGCCATGCGTTTTTGGCATTCTGAAACACAAAAGCAATTTGCTTCAGTACTATAGAAAGACCCCCTGACTAATTCATGGCATGTCCCTGATCCCATTCTCATAGGGGACGAGGTTCAGTATGTGTTTACTCTCAACAAGACAGAGAAGCTAGATGGCTACCTGAACACCTTGTAAAACAAATAGACAGTTCTTCAAAGACCCCATGCAACGCCCAGGAATAATGTCATTTCCTGAGGCACAATCCCCTGTGTTCTCTTACAGGTGACACAACCCCCCAGAGCCTTATGCTGCCTACTCAGCCTTCTCCTTGAGCCATACCACACCCATGGTGGATTTCGACCCCTGCCAAACACACTACAACTGCTGACAGCCATGCACAGAACCCCCTGTGACTGCGGAAGAGGCTCTTCTCGGTCTGGAGGAACATAAACCAGCCAAATAGACTGCGTCCAGTGTTATGCGAGGCATACTCCAAGACATAGGAGAACGACTTCAACAGAGACACCAACAAATGGCTGCCAACCCCTTCTCCTCGATGTGTGTGTGTGGGGGGGGGGGCTTTTCCCTTACGTTAGCACCCCTTCTGGGTCCCCTAGCTGCCCTATTGCTTCTCCTTTCTGTTGAGTCCTTGTATTTTTCAGAGGATTATGATGCTCCTTAATAACCGGATAGATGCGTTTATGGCAAAGCCCATTCAGGTACACTATCATCAGCTGGAGATGGCAGATCAACAAACCTACCGGGAAGGAATTCCCACGAGTGGCCCATATGACGATGCAGCGTAACTGCCCTGGGGCAATGGACAGGCAGTCAGAGACGGGCAACTACAACATGCATGTTAATTCCATCAGCCGCCTAAGACAGGCACAGGACCAACTGCTGTTCTGCAAGCCCATGACGGGTAAGACCTGGTTGGGTTCATGCAATGAGGTCCTTGACCTAAGACAGACGCTGTCTGGCAGGGCCTGCCATACTCCTGATTAAATAATATAGAAAGGGAGGAGATGTAGGGAGCCAAGCGACAGACCATTGCTGCCTCCCTGTCTCTGTCTCCTATGGGCACTGCACCTGCCTACATGAACCATAATCCTCTCCTGCTTACATCACATACCCGGACATGATGCTGACCCTGTTGTATTCATCCCCATAGCCTCTTCCTGTCCCACCTCCTGCCCTTGGCCTATAAAAGATGTAATCACTTCCGGAATAAACCGGAGGCTTGATCGGATTCTCTCGACTTGCTTCCATCTCTGTCTCCCTTATGTCTTTTATTTAATCCCTGTTCTGCCTCCACGTACACCCCACGGATTGATCCACAGGCCAGATCACTCGTTCTCAGTTCTGTCATGCCCGGGCCATGCCACAGCCCTGCATGTGTACTCAGTCTCAACACTCTCCAATGTATCCTCCTTTTTTCTTTTGTTGTTACTCGGGACAGGTGACCAGCTGAAGCTGGAAGAAGCTGTGTTGGGAGAAAGCCCACAACTTAAACTCTGAGTACTCCATCAGTTCCTAACAGTAGTTACCAGCGTAGCCAGTGATTGTCAGAGGGTGTCAGTGATCCAAGTTTGCCCCACAGCCAACATTTTACATGGCATTGTACCTTGGGGGGTCATACTTCTCTGCAGGAGGTTCAAGACCAAGCCAAGGTGAGACGCGCATTCAATGCAATCAGTTTCTTCCTATCAGGTTAGTTAGGGCTCCTCAGGAGTCATCTTAGAACCATGCCCAGCACCTCTCGGCTCTTCCGTCAGGGTCAGCCATTGATGAGTCACGGCTGTTGCTTGACCAGGTTGCTTTCTATGAAAGCTTGGGAGATTTTCTCCTGGTGACTCTCCTTGGTCACACCATGCATCAAAGGTTACTTTCTTCTGTGGTCTCATAATCTTGATCAGAAGACCAGGAATTCAGTATCTTAGGTTGACACAAGCAGAGGTTCTTTTAGGTCCTGGGTCCCCACTGACAGTGAAGGACTGGGGCCAAAATATTGGGCACTATGAACCAAACAAGTTTGAAAAGAAAAGGGAAAAAGGGCACATAGCAAGAAATGGAACCAACATAGTCAGCCAAAGCAACTTGCAGAGAAACAGTAGAGCCAAATCCTTGATCTCCATGAGTAACATCACAAGCTTTAGAGGAGACAAAGACAATTAGTTGAGCTAGATTCAGAAACACTTTGTTGAATGGGTTAGAGACCACAATTGAGGCAATATCCCAGATGTTTCCAAGGTAGTAGCAGGTTTCATATAAATATCTTTCCGGGGCTGGGGATTTAGCTCAGCGGCATAAGCACCTGCCTTGCAAGCAGGTGGTCGTGAGTTCGATCCCTGATACCGGTAAAAATGAAAAAGACAAAAAAAAAAAAAAATCTTTCCAAGCATTTTTGTAGTCTTGGTTTGCATTTTCATAGGCTAATTGTTTTAACAAGATAGAGATTGCTGCTCTATTGTCTACCTGGCATTCAATAGCTTTATTTAATCTATAAAAGGAAAGATTCAGTGGCCTCTTGTTTAAATAGTACCAAAGGAACCTTGGGCATCTGCTGCTTCAGGAATTCTCTTCCAAGCTTTTAAACCAATTTGAGCCATTTGAGGATAAGCTTGGGGGTGGCAACAAACTTGCTAGTGAATATCCAAAAAAACTCCCTCCCCCGGTAGTGTGGTGGCTCCTACAGGAATATTGCCATCTAAATTAGATAATATATAGATATAGCTTGCGTGTCCGCAGCATCATATTCTTGGAGCCACACCTGATTGATATTGGGTTGGAGTAATCATAATACACACTAAGGCTTTCCAATCGAAAGGGATCATCTCATAGCTATGACCGACCCTCAATAACACCATTTACAAAAGTACTTTCAAGTCAGTATTCCTTGACAGCCTTTTTTTTATCTCTTTAAACACACAATACTGCAGACTTTCAAAGCAGGGCTCTGGTCCTTGTTGACACAAAACAGGATAAGCAATTAATTCCCCATGTTGTTTTGCTTCTTGGGCCAGCTTTTGTGTGGAGTTAGAGCTGGTGAAAAGTTGCCCAAATGTTTTACAGGACTTGTGTCTTGTGGTGGCTGTGACAAGGGGGCAGAAGCATATGTGGGAGGTGAAGCAGCAGAAGCAGCACTCCCTGGAAAACCGGGGGGAGGAGGGGGAAACATGGGGTGTTCCATCTGCCCACCTGCCAAGTGTTGTCACAGCATCCCAGCAAAGACAGCAGGTGTGCAAGACAGTGATAGGAGCTTGAGGCTCTCCATGCAGCAGTTTGCCTATCTTGTCCCAACCCTCCACAGTGAGTGTACCCCCCCCTCCAGGCTACCAAGGGCACTGATCATGAGTTTCCAACGAGAGTTGCACCACACTATCCTCCAAGGTGACATGGCCCGCCTTCCTAAGAAGGAAAAGCAGTTCTGCTTTGAGTTCTTTGAGTTCTGCTGTGCCTCACACAGGCCATTCCCCATGAGTTAGCTAATGAAGGAGTTTTCCAAAGAAAATGAGGTAAGGTGAAACAGATGCTTGTCGGGGCCGTGTTCCACCCCAGAAACAGAGGGAAGGTAGGTCACCCTCACAGCAGACGTGTCCACTGCAGAGTCCCTGTTCGGGTACCAAGCTGTTGGGGATCTCTGCCTAGACACCCAACCCCCTAAACAGGTGCACAGCAAAGGTGCAAAGGAATGAGACAAGGAGCATGGTCTTTAGGGGGGCAGCTGGAGTGAAATCCTTGGCAGAGCTCATGACCCTGATAACAAGCAGCCAACTGACCCTGGGCAGCCCATATTTAATCAGAACAAAAGGAGTTGACAAAGGAAGAAACCTGAGCAGGATCTTGGAAGAGGTTCAAGGACCCCTCAGAGCAACAGAGGATGCTAATTAAGGAAAACTATCCAGAAAGCTTCCAGGTGGCCTCAGCTGTGGCCTATCTTGCCTCCTGAGGTGTCTCCTCATTCTCAGTTCAGCCACGCCCCGGGCCATGCCACAGCCCTGCACATGTACTCAGCTTCAATGCTCTCCGACAATTTCCATCCTACCCATCAGAATCTTCCAGCTTAATTTTAGTACAATTTATTTTCTTGGCACTTAAGAGGTTTGCTAATTTTTTTTTTTTTTTTTTGTCTTTGTCATTTTTATCGGTACCAGGGATTGAACTCACGACCGCCTGCTTGCAAGGCAGGTGCTTATGCCACTGAGCTAAATCCCCAGCCCCCGGTTTGCTAAGGTTTTAATGACACCCAGGACAGCAGCCTTCACATCTTCATTGCTAATATAGCAAAAGATTGATTTTGCAAGTCAGGAGTCATTTTCTTGCAATGAACAAGAGTTGACAGTTTGCTGAGCAAACAGACTCTGAGCCAAGCATGTGGCGCTGGCCACCAGCCCAACACTGCAGGAGGATTTTAAGTTTGAGCCCAGCATGGGCATCCTAGCAAGAACCTGTCTCAAAGTAAAACAGTGTGAAAGGGCTGGGCAGAGGGCTCGGCTGCAGTGGTGGGCTCCTGCTGAACACGCTCAGGCAGCGGGTTCAAGCCTCAGCACCACGGAAATGCGCTGGGATGCAGGTCCGTGAGGAGGCACCACACTCAATCCCTGGAGGCACAAAAGAGCGTACAGCAATGATTTGAAGGCATTATGCTAGGTCCTTAAGGTACTTACTTGTTCATTAACTGTTTCTTAAAGTAATGCACTCCTTGCCTATAAGCGTCATATAAAAGGATTTATAAAGCCCTTTTCTGCTCTGCCTTTAGGAATCTGGTATTTTCAGAGCACTCAGAAAAGAATTTCACAGAACAGCCCTATGGATTAGCTGACCAAAATGAGGTCCTTTTCCCAAAGCCGAAGGGATCTGAATACCAGGGCTTCGCACTTCCTGTCTCACTTAGTGTTTGGTTCCCTTACCCTGCAGCTATGCAAAGAAACCCACAAGGAAGACAGAGGGTTCACCATTTTATTTGGATGCCCCAAGACTTGTCCCAAATTCTGAAATCCTCAGGTTAGCACAAATTTATGGTCACAATCATTTCTTTTACATATCTAGCCTATTTTTACCTTTCATTTTAAATTGTAAATTAAGGCATATATTTACACACTTATATACAAAAAGCCTTCAAAAACAAAGCAATCCCAATCTTGGTCCAAGGGGTCCCCTTTAGAAGTGGTAAAGTACTGAGCTAGATACACTGTTCACGCTTCCAAGGCCTTGCAGGACTTGGTGGGTTCAGTCGATTCCCCTTTAAGCTTCATGAACCATGTATTTCACTTCTGAGTAAATGAGAGGGAATATGACTGAGCACGCTTTGTAAATTACAGCGACACTACTGAAAAGGGCTCGGGGTTTTGTAATCCAAGGTTCCGATTTAAAGCAAAAATACATGGCATAGACTGCGACAGCAAAGAAGTGTCCAATTAAGACGAGAGGGTTTGGAGACAATCTGTAACAGAAGAAGAAAAACATTAGTAAGGCCCAGAGACTAAAATTCACTCATAAAAGGTTCTAATTTACGTATCGTCCCTAAAGCTACACACATGAAATACCCTTAGAAGACTTTACAAATCTGCCTGCCTGTCAACAGTTGATGGCAAGAACAGAAAGATTCTTTCTGAGAAATTACTTAGGGTAATGTCTTTCAGGGAAGCTAGTAATGCCTCTCCACACTGAAGCCACGCATTTAAACTGTGTCCTTTCACTGATCACGAGATCTCCGGCTCAAGTACTGGATGAGTTTACCTGCTGGAATCCAGACTTTTCACAAATGACATTCAGATTATAGATGAATGAGAAGTGACTCTAAGAATTTCACGGTGCAGACTTTTCAACAATAGTTCTACATATGTCAACACTGTCAAAACTGAGTTTGATGAGTTCTACACTTTAATCAAATAATCTTTATAATTTGAGTTTCTCATATAAAAGCCATGTGATATTTAGGCTTGTATGCCTGTGTCACTTAACATTACCATTTTAAGGTGCATCCATTCCTAGAAATGACTTGAATTTCTCTTTTTAGCACAATAGTGCTTCACTGTGTGTAAATACACTTCCTTGATCCATCCGCCTGTTGTCGGACACATAGGCTGGCTATTATGAACTGTGCTGCTATAAATATGGGAATTTGTGTATAAAGAGCAAAATAAAAGATAGGTAACAAAGGAGGGAGGGAGCTGGCACCTCCCCAGATGGGAAGGCGATGGAGAAAAGGAGGAAAGGGGATAAACAAAGGGAGGGAGATGTGCTGTAGGTACACGAATCAACTCCACACAAGGAACACAAACATCGTGGACTGTAGATGTGTGCTAATAAATTAATTGTTAAATTCTAATTTCTCAAGTTTTCCCGGTTCCCACAGCTCAGCCCAGGTTGCTAACCCACAGATGAAAATGAGCTTGTTTTAACTGAGGGTTTTAGCCTCCCTCTCCCTCCTGAGCGGGAAGCTGTTCGCCACTGTCTTTTTTCTAACTCTTGAGACCACAGGGATACTACAGATAATAAAATGACGAAAGATTTCCACACACTTATCAGGCCTAAGAAAGCCTAGAATATACATTTTCTCTCTAACATCAGAACAACTTACACGGAAAGCAGTCCAACAGGACCAGCAACACACCGTCCACCGAGTTTGAAATAAAGAAAACAGGCTTTTCTTAGCCGATGTAAGGAATCTAAAATGAGATGTGAAAATTACTCTCAATCAAAGTACACATTTGGGGTGGTAACAATATGTCAGAAAACCTAACAAATACCAAGCATGACACATAACTTTTAAATATGTAGTCCTGGAATTTTAACAATCAAGATTTATTTGAAACCCCACAATCAGAACCAGCGATACAGCCCATGGGCACAGGTGCAGCACCTGCCTGGCAAGCATCAGGTCTTGAGTTCAAGATTCAGTACCAAAAAATAAAGAAACAAACAAAATTCCACAATCATTATTATGTGTTTGGTAATACGTATATGCATAAAACTGCCTGTTAGTAAATGATTACTAACATTTAGGTAACAGTTGTTCAATTTATTTTTCTTGTAAATTCATTAAATGATATAAAATACTTTAAAAATTCTTTATTATTAAAAAACTACACAATTCTAGAAATCAACCTACCACTTCTTGAGAGTCCAATCTGTATCTCCATGTATCAAGTAAAAGGAGTAACTATTAAAGCCTTATAACACTATTCAAAGTAATTCATTAACCTTCACAATAATTACCTTTCTAAAGTTTGAATTAATGTCTTCTTGAGGTATGCTTAGATTTCCCTAAATATTTTTTATAACATGCAAAAAAAGCTTTTTTTTTTTTTTTTTGGTACCAGGGATTGAACTTGAGACCCTGTGTTTGCCAAGCAGGCACTTACGCCGCTGAGTTAAATCCCTGGCCCCCAAAAGAAATTTTTGTTCCAATAAACCCCTTCCTTCACCAATCTTTCATGAAATTTGTTAATGTTGCTTTGTTGGTAAATTCCAACTTATAATCCAAGAATACAAGAACTGAGAAACGCTTAGAAAGAAAAACTTACTTTATATTGACTCACACAAACATTTTAACTTCCACACCAATTTAGCGAGAGATTGGTTCTGCAAATCACAGTTTTCTGTCCTTCAGTAAGAGTTAATTGTCACAGAGGCTATCGGTTAGATTTTCACACAGGATCTCTCGCCCATCTAGCCCATCTAGACTGATGTTCTCTCTCCAACAGGAGCAAAGGGTAAACGCATGGCCTCACTCACACTGAACAGGAAAAGCTCTAAACTTGTTTTGAAGTTCATATTCATTTTCTAAAATATTACCCTAAAAAAAAGAAATTGAAACTCGTGTTCAGGAAAAAAAAAAAAGACCACATGGTCTGTTCAGATCAGACTAGAACGACCTTTCTGCCAAGCTTTCATTTGAGGACCGCATAATCTAATCCAGACCAGAGGAGTTCAAAATAATGAAGGGCTATGATACTGCCATTAATATTATCCAAGGAAAGTTGAAGGCCTTCCAGAACAAGGGACAGCATACACAAGGATTGCAAACAAAATCTTGCACCAGAATGGAGTTTTAAAAATTATTGAGGGCACAAGCACTTATCTGCTAAGTGTGAGGTCATGATCCCTGGTACCAAAAAATAAATAAAAACTATTGGTACCAAGGGGGGCATGGAGGTGCATACCTGTAATTCCAGTATTAGGGAGGCTGAGACAGGAGGATCAATATCATTTTCAGGCCAGCCTGCTACATGATAAGTTTAAGGTGGCCTGAACTACACAGTGAGACCATCTTAAAAAGCCAAGACAGGTAGGCAGATAGAATTACGAATGCAGGAGTCAGCAAACTGAGAAACATTTTAATTTCTAGATTAGTTACTAATCTTTGTAAAATGTATCTGTACTTACCATCCCTAGCAGAAAATAACTCATAAAGAGCCTGGGCAAGGACATTCACAACGAAAGAATGAGAACTTTTTCTGGACCAATAGAATGATTTTTTAGCCTAAAAATGAAAAAGATCACTTATTACACAGTAAGGCGGGGGAGGGGGAGACATAAACTCTTTATAATCCCATCAAACTGGTATTTTTGTTTTTATCCAAACCGCTATGAGCAAATAATATTGCCTCATGTTTGTTTGCTAGAAGTTCACCTCCAGAGCTACAGGTTGTGTGGCCCTTGGTACTATAGCGCTCTGGCCCATGGAGGCCAGTTTTATGTTACCACAGGGAGATCGGGAGATTCAGGGGCTGCAATTCGGGTTCTTTCGGCGGAACAAGACCGCCTAACGGTGAGGAGGCACAGGCTGCCGGCATGGATGCCTCAGCAAAGCCCTACTGTTCCTAAGCTCCTCGGGGAATGACAGACACACTGTTCTTGTCAGGAATAATCTAACAGCTTACCTGCAAGACAGCCGCATCATCATAAAGGTCAGGGATGCCCTTCAGCAGGTGTCTCCACAACTTTATGTCTTTCAGAGCCACAGTCATGCCCCCGCCAGTGAGAGGGTGCCTCACGTTGTACGCGTCCCCCAGAAGGACAACGCCTAGGAAGAGAGGTGACTCGGGTTAAGATGTCCCGTGCCAGTTTCCCAGACAGGCAGATGAGGTAACTCTCGTTAGCGTATGACCGTTGTTGTGTAAGCCGCTAGATAAGAAGAATGCGCAAATACAAGGGAATAAATAATGACTCAGATACGGTGGGGCAAAGGCTCAAGAGCTCACTCAGTCCCTCTTTATTTGGCACCAAATGACTGTAGGTCAGGCACCGAGGGGATCAGGACAATCTTTGCCCTCAGAGAGCTCACGCGGGATATAATGCCAAAGCCAACAATGGCAACATTTATCCTTTTGCAAATGAAAAGGAACTGCAGGTACAGACATGCAAAGTCTTGAACAAGACAAAGGTTGGTGTTCCCGGCTCTTTCCAGCAGCGGCAGCTGCATCGCAGCAGAGGGGCATCAGTCCTGATTTCCTGAAGGGGAAAAAGCAGCCCTGGGAATGACACCCAATAGCATGGCTCAACAGAAGTCCACACTCGATGGCTCGCTCCTCGGGTGGCAGACCCCGCTCAGGGCTACGTGAACGTGAACCCCCGGCGTAAAAACTGCAGAGGAGGGGCCCACAGTTGGGCTCCAAGGGCACCCAAGGGAGCTGCCAGCTGCAGATTCCTGGTCCTTCGTCACCCTGCATCGTGACCTGAGACACAGTGACTTTGGCACAAGCACTGACTTAATTTTATCTCTGAGAGAAACAGACAATGATAACAATGTCAAGTTCATAGGATTATGGAAAATCCTTTTCTGAAAGCCATAATGTAGTACCCAATTTTAGAATATCTCACTGTATTAATATATTAAAAAAGTAGCTTCTAAATGTTATTTCAAATGTTGATGTTTTACTCTGATGCCTGCACTAGAAAGTCAAGCTTTTATCCCGCTGCTCCATGGAACACTCCCAAGCCCACCCATCGGAACACAGCCCCACAACAGGCCGACCGCTTTCCTTTGGTGCAGCTCCGCCCTGCGTGGCCTGTGGCACCGCAGTCTGGCTCCACAGCTGGCAGCTCCAGAGGCCTGTGTCTCCAGGGCACCCAGGGGCCCATTCAGATCTACTCCACACTGGCGCTGTCCCCACCTCCCCACTCCAATGCCCACTGGTGTCTGAAAGTGAAGTCCTCGGCTCATCCACACATCCCTAACTGCACTGTTTTTTTCCTACTCCCAAGGCAGCAAGTGGCTGGCAAAAAAACCACCTTCGCTCTCACTAGGCTGTACTCTCTGAAGGTAACAGCCAGTTAAGCACCAAGTTCCATGCAGTGTCCTAGATATCACCCCACCCACTCCTCACTCTCCACTTTACAGCCCCAGCTGGCCCTTCTACCATCCCTCATGGAAAACTGAAACAGCCTATGTAGACTTAGATCTGAGCTTCCTTCCACACCACCTTCCACCACAGGGTTACAGTAACATTTCTAAATAAAAAGTTTAATGACAGCACCTCAGAACTTCTCAATGAACTGAGATAATTTAGTTCATAAAGTTTCAACATACAAGATAAATGTCAAAATTAATTGTACTCCTATACACCAGCAAGAAGCAATCTTAAACAGATTTACCATAGCATCAAAATTAAAATAGAGAGCTAGGGGATATGGCTCAGCAGCATAAGCACCTGCCTGGCCAGCGCAAGGTCATGAGTTCCATCCCTGGGACCAAAAAGAAAAAAAATTAAAATACAAATAAACTGAACAATGAAAAGCAAAATTTACACCCCGCTCAAATTACTGTTCAAAAACATAAGCCATTCCACGTATAGTCAACTGAATTTTGACAAGTGTCAAGGCAACTCAGTGGGGAAGAAAAACATCAACAGATGGTACTGGGACAACAGGACAGCCACACAAGGAAGCTGGGTCTTTATGTCACACACAAAATTTAATTCTAAATGGATCAAAGTCCTAAATGTGAAAGCTAAAACTATAACCCTTAGAAGAAAATTATAGAAGTAACAGCTTTGTGACCTTTCACAGGGCGAAGCCTTCTCAAGATACGGAATCAAAAACAGGGTAAATCAAACTTCAGGACAATAAAAACATATGTACTCAAATGCATATCATTACGAAAAATGAAAAAAAAAAAAAAACTCCACAGAATGAGACAAATTTTGTAAATCATGGATCTGATAAGGGACATATACCTAGCCTATACAAATAACTCTTAAACACAATAATACCTTAAATATGCCCAGTTAAAAACTGCAAGAAGTCTGAATAGATTTCTTCCAAAGAAAATAAACAGATGGCTTTTAAGCACATACACTGTATCTATGAAAGACACATACATCACAAGCACAGTGAGAAACCACTTCACACCTATAGCATGGCTGTAAGAGAAAAGATAAATCATGTCAAGAATGTGGAAAAACTGGAAGCCTCACAACACTGCTGAGAGGAATACAAAATGGGCAGACTGCTTTGGGAAACAGTCTAGCAGTTCCTTAAACATAGGTCCCAACAATACTACTTGGGTATACTCAAGAAAAGCGACAATGTATGTCTACACAAAACTTTGGTCCCAAATGTTTACAGCAGCATTGTCTGTAATAACCAAAGAGTAGAAACAACACTAACGCCTGAAGAATGGGCAAAAAAGTGTAATGTATCCATATAATTATCATTTAATTTGGCCATAAAAACAAGGAACTGATATATGCTACAACACAACTGAATCTAAAAAACAAAATAACATGAACAAAAAATATTACGCTAAGTGAAAGCCAGTGACAAAGGAATAAAGCTGTGTGATCCCACTTACAGGAGACAGCCTGACTTGGAAATCTAAGACAGAAGGTCTACCAGGGTACGAGGAAGTGCTGATGGGTTAGAGGCTTCCTGGAATAACAAAAATTTTTCATCTCATCATGATGGTTGCACCTATCTGTAAATGCACTCAAAATCCACTGAACCGTATTTTTTAAACAGAGAAACTAAGTAATTTATGAATAAAGTTGCTATCAAAAAGAAAACAATGACTTTCCATTGTCTGTAGGATTTAAATGTCTATCCCACCCATCTACCCACAGGGCTCATACCACCGGAGGCTGCACCCACAGGAACACATTGAGTTCTGAGTCCATCTACATATGTCCTTCCTCTCGCTGTCCACTGAGGACCTCACACTAGGCTCCTGGCGCCCAGGCTGGCTTTCTTCCTGAGTAACACCCACCCCCAGCCACCTCTGCACCTCTCAACTCCCACAACTCCCCGACACCCCCTCTTCAGTGACCTGGGACCAGGGTGAGCCGTCACTGCTCCCCACTACTCACCGCTAGTGTTAGGAATCACTTGCTACATTCCTATCCCGAGTGTTCCCTTCGCTGTCCTCCCTCCAATGAGCAACACCAAGTTAATACTAAACAATAACTAAACAGTCAGAAAACTAAGCTCCGTAGAGTAAGGTGCCAACCACAGTAACCACGTGTCCTCCCTACGTTATTCCCGTCAGAGCCGTTTTAGTCTCATGTTATTCAGGATTTTTTAAGTCAGTCGAACAGGACAGTACCTCGTCTGTTCACTGGGGAGGAAGGAAGGAAGCTCGCTGGCATTGACTTCAGAGGGGAATTCTGAGAGGCTTCTAGGAACGGCTCCTTCAGGTGCTCTGCAAAAAACCCCATTCGCCTGGATAAATCATTCCCAATACTTCAATTTCAAAGTTTCACACACTTCCCTACCAAGTGCAAGCCAACACCAACTACACAGACATCCCTTGGTCAATTAAGATTAGTTATTAATAACAGTATTCAGAAGCACCCAGTTACTCATGCTAAGGAATAACTAAGCAAACTAAGAGAAAATTAATGGAAACGGACACATATACAGCTGAATGGATGAAGAAATGGGAGGAGGGCTAAGACCATTTCTGCAGGATGTGATGGAGTCACCCAACCCTTCCAAACAGAAACTGCCACCTGGCAGCACTTGATTTACTGCAACTGACACACTCTAATGGTAAGAGTGAGGTACACCACTGAGTTACAACCGCAGGAGGGTATGTACCACACAAAGAGGTAGATTTGGATGGAGACATGGCCATCTCTACCTCTCTGAGCTTCAGTTTCCTTATCTATAAAATGCAATCACTGGATTAGCTCATCTCTGAGTCACCCAATCTTAAAAGTTTTGTCCTCCTTACAGAGACAATGAATGTGGACAGAGTTCCCAGCATGAGAATGGAGGAGATGCCTGTGTTCAAACTGCTCCATTCACATAGAGAGCAAAATCTGGGTTCCCTAGCCAAGGTAAATACAGACCTATAAACAGTTTTGGTGATTTCAGGTCAGCCTGCTCCAATCAACCTCTGGATTGAAAATAATAGTAATAATAAACTGACAGTGAAAAAATATATATATTTACATAAATGTAATATATATATATATATATATATATATATATATATACTAAAAATGTCAGCTGATAGGCTATCCTTTTCCTAAATAGGTATAACTACTTTTCCATTCTAAAAGCCTCAAACCTGGCTTAGCAATATTCACTTGTGTTCATAGGTTAAAAACGTCATTATTAAAAATCTAAGTCTGTCCAGTTCATTTCACTTTACTTTTGTTAGTGTATTAGTCAATTAAATAACTTAAAATAATCCAGTTTTTGCTTAAAATGCACTCAGCATTAATTTCTATTACTGTACTCATAACTGATAACTAGGGTTTCCCTTCAATTTTATTAAGAAAAAAATCCTGGGGATCAAACCAGGACCTCACATATGCTAAGCACATAGTCCACCCTCAAAGCCTAGTACCATCTAAACTTTTGAGTGCTGACAAGATACTTCATGAGTTTGGATTTTGAGAGCCCTCTGGATTTCAGCTTTCCAAATTAGGGTTGCTCAACCAATGTAAATCAATGCAAATATTCCAAAACCCTAATGGCCTGAAAACAAACACTTCTAGGACCAGCATTTTGGGTTCAGCCTAATTAATCTTTAGTTTATCTTAGGCAAGGCCAATTAGCCTCGCTGAACGTTAGTTCTCTTGGCTGTAAAGCCCTCCCACAGTAGTGGCACATATGGACAGACTAATAATGACGGATTAATAAACAGATTAATAATGACGTTTGTAAATCAACTCTAGCAGACATGCAGTAAATGGCAGGTGTCACTACTACAGGAATCAGACACAAGCGCAGTGAAACATGAGAGATACTGAAGAATTTAAAACCCTGAGATGAAGGTCTAGGCTACCTTAAAAAACACTGCGCCTGCCATTGTTAGTCATTCTGAAAATCAAGCTTTAGTCAGTATTATGACAAAACACACTAACATTACTCTTTGAATTTAGGGTTTGTTTCCTTCTGTGTGTGCCAGCGACCAGTTAACATTAGCTGTCCCTGCAAATGCAGCCACCGGTGGGCTTCCCAGAGGCCTGGAGCTAGGGTGTGATGCCAGGGTTAGGGTATGTGACTGTGAAAGGAGTCTGCTGACTGGCCTGGGGGAAGACTCGGGATGAAAGCCAGAGGCAGGCTGCTTCCTTCACTTGGCTGCTTAGCTGCTTTCTGTCTACCACGACCGACTTCTCCTCTGCCACGGCTCCTGTCTTGGAGCCAGCTTACTATGAACTGGACACTCTACAACTGTCAGCTACAAAAACCCTTTCGTCCTTTCACTTTAGATGTTGGGTGTTTTGGTCTCAGAACTAGAAAAGCAACTAAGACAGGAAGCACTTTCCACCCACCATATTAACCTCAGGCTTACTTTAGGCATAGCTCAGGAGAAGCTGGAGAGAGTCAGCCTTTCATGAGATTTGCTTTCAGAACAATTACCTTGGGAGTAAAATCTTTCTTACCAGGTACCTGTGGGTAAATTTGTTCAGCCATGTATTCTCTTAAATTCCTTGGCTTTTCTCCACGAATGTCAACAAGTACTCGAGTTTCACTGGGTGAAATCTGGTAGATGAGAACTGGGCTTGGATTAAGTAAAAGGAGTTCAGCATAATTGGGTTTAAACTGTGGTGCATTCTAAAAAAATAAAAAAATAAGTATTTTAATGATTTTCAAATTTCAAGTTATTGTTCCTTTTCTACAACTGTGCTCCACCATACCTTCATGAGGAAGCCAACAAAGTGAGATGAAACTGAAGCTTCAGTGGAGATCAAGTTTTTCCTGAACTTGGAGAAAATCCCGTCTGCTACAACAGTCAATGGAGCATGGAGTTCCTGCAACAGATGAAGAATCCTTAGCTAAACAGTAGAAACACACAGTAAATGTCCATTCTCAAACACTGTGCATTAGCAGAGTTAAGTATGGGATAGCATTAAAGAGAGCAGCCAAAACCTATGTGGATGCAGGATGATGCGTGACCCATCTCTAGGCACCACTGTGAGCCTGCCAACATCTCCCTTCCAGTACTCCCACCCATACCAGCAGGGAGCCGGGCACGCCGGGGCACACCTGCAGTCCTGGCACTTCGGAAACAGAGGCAGGAGGATCACTGTGAGTTCAAGGCCAGTGTGGGCGACACAGTGAGTTCGAGGCCAGCCTGAACTAGAAAGACCCTGCCTCAAAAAATAAAAAACGAACAGTGACACACTAGATGAGACGGATTCTCAGTACCAACACCACGGACTAGGCAGATTCTTATAGAAATTTCTGACTTCACATAATGCTTTGGAATCAGTAACTAGGGCTTAAAAATTGTTGACTTCAATGGCCATGTGTACTTATACGGATGTGCTATGAGCAGAGCGATCCTTGCAAAGCCTCTACTGGAAATCAGTTTCCTAGAGGGGCCCAAGACAGCCGCCTGGAAGGACCATGCACTTTTCTCATGATGAAGTCGACATGAGCACAGAACAGAAATTATTTCCCTCTACTTCCCAAAAGATTCTCCTCGCTCTACCTTAGACAATGTATATGTGGTAACGATACCATACTGGAACTTACAAACTAAGAGGGTAAATTTATATCATGTGTATTTTACCACAAACTTTGTAAAATCACTATGACCCACTGTTTCTCTTATGTTTGCTGTTCTAATTTAACGACTGCCCATACTGCCTATTTGTTTCACACCTTTTTCTTCCTTCCAGTTCCTCCTGGCCTTTCCGATACCTCTGAGCACGGTTACAACACTGATTCTCGTTTCTAACACTTTCGCAGGGCACTCGGGGCACTCTCCACATGTGCCCTGCTCACCAGCCCACCCTGCGCACAAGGACCGTACAGGCTACTCGGTGCACAGGAAATGAGCTGCTCACTTTCCTAAAAGGACACTCAGGAAAGAAAGAACATTGCCCCCTAGGGCAAGAGGATGGCTGACAAACCTCACCTTGATATCTCCAGTCTTTTTATCTTTGTATTTAACTCCGATCACAGCATCTTCCTCCTCCAGTAACTGCAGTACGACACCTTCAACGAACTGTGCACTGGAGGAAAAGCAAAGCGATTTCTACAGAGCACATCTGGGCAATTTGAGCTAGACATAAACCCCTTACTTCTCGCATAGAGTAAGGTCCAGAATGACAAAAAAGCATCGGCAAGTTTTAGCAATATGTATAATTTCTATGTTGCAATTTACTTACAGTGAACACAATACTAATGTAAATGTTTTACAAGTAGTTTAAAAAGTCTCATCAGACTTCTAATTAAAAATAAATTGTAGGCAGAGAAATGTTACACATATTCATACATAGAGGTGGCAAATAAATTGCAGTTATCCAACAAGTTCTTAAGAGTAGTTATATCCAGTCAGAATATCCAAGGAAAGTTTTATGGTCTTTATATTTTGGTGTATTTTTTCCATTTTTACACAATGAGCATATTCTAGCTCCATGGGAACCAAGTACTTTCAGTACTAAAAATAAACCCACTTAGTTCTTTACTGGCTTTGTCAACACTTAAGCTTCTGTCAACCACATGAGTGTTTTTATGCTTAAAATTTCCTTATTGACAGTGCTGAAAGGCTGCAAGCAAATGTAAGTTAATAATGAAGAGCAGCCACCAGCCCTGCCATCCTAGGTCCACATCCTTGAAGTCCTCGTCCTCTACCCTGACTTCCTACAAAAGGCATAACCACAACACAAACTCCCAAGGGGCACCCAGGATCTATGCCCTAATTATAATACGCATGTCCTCTAAATTCCAGAGAAACAAAGCATGCAGTTTTTATCCAACCAAAAGAAAATTTTCTATAGTCCTACATCATTCCAAGAAAATTATATAATAATTCTTAACAAAGTCATCAAATACGGCCTTCTAACTTAAGGTCATGGTAGTATACCATTGTTCTGGACTCTGCCCAAAATCTCATGACGATTTCTAAAGCCTTATTCAAATGCCAGACTTAGCCCTTAACACTGTGGAATCTGAAGCTGCAGTCTTACTTGGGCTCTGCCATAGCTGCTTTCCGAAGATTCATGACGAATTTTCCATGATGAAAAGCTCTCCCACCCTGCACCTGACTGTTTTCAGACAGCGGGTAAGTAATGTGAACCTCTGACTTGCTTTCTCGATCGTGAAGTACGTAGCCATTCAAACACTGGGCATCAATACCTTCTAGGGCATCTGCAAAACAATCAATTCTGTTAACACATCCGGAGTCAGTCACTAAGTACAAAAGAATACCAAGACACTGAAAGTAAGTTTCTGCTTTGTAAGACTACAGGCCATTCAGGGAACTGCACAATTAGCATAACTAGCTCAGAAACCGTCAGGTTCCTGCAAATCTGCAGGTGTCTTAGCAAAACTGTAACATCACTGAAAGGTGACAGCCTGGCATGGTGGCACATGCCTGTTATCCCAGTTCTCAGGAGACTGAGGCAGGAGGACTCAGGGAGTGCAAGGCCAGCCTGGGCTACACCGTGAATTCAAAGCCAGCTTCAACTACAACAAGCAAGCAAGCAAACAGTAGTTATTCAAGTCTGTAATTCCACTTCACCTCAGAGTGACAAGCAAAAGGTACAACATGAAATCAGTCACAATTCTGTCATGAGGAAAATCTGTTCTGTCCCCAGAGATACAGGGTTATGAGCAGGCCTAGGGGCTGACAGTGCTGTGGGCTGCAGCTGGGTCAGCAGATGTCACTGGGTTCCAAGGAGTGATCTGGGGCATGACACTGCTAAGGTTAGCACACTGTTAAGAAAGCAGCGGACCGTGCTGGGAACAGGGACTTCCGGGACTAACTTAGGGGCACTTCTGAGACCTAGTAGCCAACTGCTAACATCGATGACACGAAGAAATCTCCAGAGATGCTCCCTGGGCACATGGCATTTGCCCACTGCTGCTATTCTGTGTCATTCATGAGATCTGCCTACAGGGTGCAGCCTGCAAACCAGGTTCTGTCTGTGTGCCCTGCAGCAGAGGAAGCAGCCCAGCATGTCCAGGGCCACAGGCTACCAGGGCATCGCTAAGCAATGGAAGCAACAGCTCTGTAAGGGGCAGCACGCCGGCCACTGCTGCTGAGCACAGACTCATCAGCACAGGTAGGTCCTGCTACAGAGAACGTAGACCGCTGCGCTTACTACTTACACCACTGCTGCAGCAACAGCCCAGAAGGTCCCTACAGCAGCTCTCCAGTGCCTTGTAATATGAGCATTTTATTTCCCTGCATAAAGAGTAGCTCAAAATACGCAACCACTTTAGGAATTTCTCATGAGTTATATCTGCAGTAATCTGTGTATTATCCATTATTGGTGAAAAACTGAAGAGAACATTTTGTAACTAGTTGCATTTCAGTACTCAAAATCCTTCACTTTTTATTCAGTGACCTCATAATGTCCACTAGCTGGTCACACACCTACCATTCACTTCGCTGTCCCCGAAGTCCCTGTGCGTTTCCATGCTGACCAGCTGACTGTCCCTCTGCTCCCTCACCCAGGACGGGACTGAGGACCAGCACCCATCCCCCTTACCGCACAGCACATCTCACTGCTGCGCTGCTTCTTCTTTGTCATTAAAGAAGCTCCGCAAGAACAGTGCACAGGTCTCAACAGTCCGCTGGGCTCCAGCTTTTAAATTCCAAGGCACTTCCACCTGTTTTCCGGTCCCGGTCACCAACTGCCAACTGCATCGCGCAGTTTCTGCATTCATCCAACCTGACTGGCAAACATGCGCGCTCCCATTCACCTTCCTGACACACACCCATCCACTCCCGTGAGAAACAGCGCGCTCTCCTTTGCCTCCCTGACACACGCCCATCCTCTCCCAAGAGAAACATGATGTGTACATAGAAAGCTCCAGCTTTCTTCTACCACCCTGCCAAGTTTCTTCGCAGTCTTTCACATGCATCTCTCCTCCTTAACCCTTAAAAATAAGACTCTCCCAGGGCATCGTTTACTTTGTCCTCTTGTTTCTTCTTAAGCTCTCCTCAGATGGACTTGATCACTGTGAGTTTTTCCCTACCACAAACTCTACTACCCTGGCAAGCTGGGAACCTGAATGCTGGCGGGGGCATTCCTCTCTTGCCCTGGAGATTCACACTCCCATTGACACCTCTACTTTAAAGTGTTCCCTCAAGGTTCCCTCACACCTGCTCCTCTCTTACATCTTCTTACAGGCCAATCAACCAGTACCATCAACCAGCTGCTGAGTGCAAACCTAGGACTCATTCCTGTGGCTTCCTATTTTTCAGGTCTCGTACCAAAACCTCACTAAGTGTCTCACTTTCTCACTGCTGGGATGCAATACCCAACACCCAGAACTCTGAGGAGAGGTTTATTTTGGTTCACATTTCATAGCTTGGCTGGCTCCAAGGCAGGAGGGGAAAACACAGGACCCTGGGGATTAACTGCTCATCTAATGGCTAATGGCATTCACCAAACAGCGCCCAGGCATGAACAGGGAAGGGAGAGAGACCCCTCCAAGTCACCACCCTAGCACATGCCTCGCCCCACCAGGCCCCAGCCCCTAACAGCAGGTCAGCCTACAGCACGTCTGTGATCTAGTCGTCTTCTCCAAAGGCCCTTCCCAAAGGCACACAAGACTCCTGCGGGATATCTAGATACAAACCCTAACAGGAAGTCAGCATTTCTCTCCATTTCACCATGAAACTGTCACTGCTCTGTATCTTTTGCTACCATGCTATCCCAAACCAACAACAACTGTCACCTGAGTTTAGCAGTGAGTTACCCAGTCTCCTGGCCTGACACTTGGGACCCCACCTATCATCACAGATTGATAGTCTATTCTCTATACTAGATCCATGTATTCTACTTCAATGCCATTCTACAAACGGCAGAGTGTGACTCAATAGTAAAATGTGGAAGGAATTTTGGACTGCATAGTCAGGTGAAGTTAAGCAAACATTTAAACAGCAAAATAACACAAATTTCAGGTTGGAGATGTTGTTCTATGGCAGAGCACATGCAATCCTGTGGCACATGTGTTGTGGTTTTCTTGTTAGACAAAACGTGTTAATGTATGAGCTGTTCTTTGTAAACTAAAACCTCAACATTCATGTTTAAGTGCAGCGTTGGCATTCTGTGATAACTAAGTGGGTTTTGGCTGCCGTTTCGGCACTCAGTCTCCAAAAGCTTCACTCACTGCACTGGGCCCTAGGTTTCATCCCCAGCAACCCCCAAAAGGGGGGGACACTCAGTCAGACTGACACATGTATGGATTTAATATGCTCCTACTCGGAGTAGCTACTGAGGGTTGAAGTCACTACAGGAGATGCGAAGTGAGATGGTGTTAGACTCTGGCTCCACTGCAAAGCCCCACACCTTCTGGTCGCGGGCTCCCTCTCCCACCTTAACCGCATGCCGCTCTCTGCATCCTCTTCATCCACTGCTTTCGAGCAATATGGGTCTCCTTTCCAGTTCCTTAAACAAAATACCAAATCCATACCTGGTGCCTCCAACACGCCAAGCCCTACTCTGAATGATTTGCATGTATGAATTCACTTAATCCTCGCAATAACAATGCAGTAGAGGCACTTAGTACACCATTTAAGCATAAGGGAATTAATACACAGAAGGCTGAGTTACTTCACTTAAAGCTGGTCATACCACTTAAAGCCAGAGCTGGTATTCAAGTCCAGGCAATCTAGTTCCAGAATCGATGCTTTTAATTAACATACTGTATTTCCTAACACACCAAGCAAGTAGCTTCTCACCTCCCAGTCTGGCTGTAGGCTGCACTCTGTTCCTCAAAAATACAGTGTACCTGTCTTGTTCACCTGTGCATCCCTGGTACCCAGTACAGTACCTCATGCAAAAGTAGCAAATAAATAATTGCTAAATGAACAGAGCTGGAGCGTAAAAGGTATTGGCTAAACAGATCAATGCTGCTCCAGGAAGAGTCTAAAAAACAGCATTTTAACATTTATAGAATACACATTCTTCAAATGAAGTTCCCTTCACCTTTCACCGAAACTCCCGTCTTTATTCTAGTTTTCCAGTCCTTAATTATAACCATAACAATTTGTTTCAGATGTTTCACTATATCTCATTACATCTACTTCCTACTTCCTACTACTAAATGCTTACTTTCTCCTTTGCTCATATTCATGTAAATTAGTTAATAAACGAGTATTCTAAATTTTCTAAGTGCAATTAAAAAGGAATACCTTGTCATTAGCCAGCAAAGTCTAAGTGGTGATGCTTTCTGAACTCTCCTGGAAATCAACGTGAACTTACCTCCAAGACCCAGGTCTTTAAGAACACAGCAACCTCCGGGCTGCATAAATTCTCCAACTATTCTGTGAGGCTCTTTTAAATCTCTCTCAATTACTGTCACCTTTCTTCCATCTCTGGAAAGCACTGCTGCCAGAGCAGAGCCAAGTACACCGGATCCCACGATGATAATTTCTGGATCATTCAGGGAAGGTGCTGATGTAGAGGTAGCTGCTTCTACTAAGGTTGTTTCGGAAATATGGATTCCTTTTCTGTGCTGTTTAATTAAAAAAAAGGAATTTTACTTCTAACCTTGTTAGCTTTAAATCACATTACCACCATAAAGACGCATCAGCCTTCTGCATCCTAGGCAAAAACTTGGCCCCGAACACTATTAAACAAAATGAGCTGCTTATATTTTAAAACCCAAACCATACATAAAAATGAGTGAATCCAGGGGTGGTGGCACATATCTGTAATTCCAGCATTTGGTAGGCTGAGGCAGAAGGATCACCACCACCACTAGTTCAAGGCCAGCCTGGGCTACGTTGTGAGTTCAAGGTCAGCCTGAACTACATAGTGAGACCCTGCCCCAAAAGCCAAAAATCAATGATATCAAAGTTCTAATTAAGTGAAAATGTTCAATTATCCCAGTAAAATTAAACATTTACCTGTATTCCTTTCTCCAGACATGGTATTTAGAAAATGTTATTATATAAACATATTTAAAAATATACGTGAGAACAAATAAACATCCATTAGGGACTCAAACGCATATTATAGGGTAAATTTACCATTAACTATCCAATGTTTCAAACTTCTGATTTAACTTCATGCTATACTATTCAATACCTTTTACATATTTCTAAAGATATTCACCTTACCTTTTCTTCTTCTGCTGGGGATTTAGCTCAGTGGCACAAGTGCCTGCCTGGCAAGCATAAGTTTGTGAATTCAATCCCCACCCCCACCCACAAAAAATTCTTCTTCTAGATTTTTCACTGGGTAAAATCAGTTTGAAATGACAAAAACAAAAATCTCTTCAAATCCTGGTTACATAAGGATCACTTAAATGTGTAACATTATAAAAGAACAAAAATAACTCTTCTTGTTCCTTGGGCTATGAACTTATTTACAACTTCACTCTTCAACACACAAGCACATAGTCAAGTTGTCACTCCCTTTTCTACCCATCTGACATTCTTAAAAGCCTGGTGATTTAGCTCAGCGGCATAAGCGCCTGCCTTGCAAGCAGGCAGTGGTGAGTTGGATCCCTGGTACCCATTAAAAGGAAAAAGACCAAAAAAAAAAAAAAAAAAAAGCCTGGTCAAAGAAAGAGTTGCTCCGCAGCTTAGGAGTAAGGACAAACACTGAACCTATCACCAGCTGGACAGCAGAAGTTTTTACCGCCACCACGGAAGAACAAAAAGTCTCATCTGAGATTTTGCCCAATGAGAATGAAAGTGCATGTCAGTTTTTTCTAAAATGAACAATTCAATCTTAAATCCAGTTAAGTATTTAACTGGGTTCACAATTTGAACACAGCAGATACAGAACTGCAAGGAAGCATCATTCCTGAGTTCTCTGACCTTGATGATTAAAGTAAGAATAAATTCCATTTAAAGGTTTTAATAAAGAACTCAGGCAAAGAGGGAAGGTAGAGAGTCTGAAACCGTTTGAAAGCTAATGTTCTAATATTCACCCAGCATGCTTTTACCTTTATAATGAATTCGGGCACTGTTCAGTTTTAATTGTAATTTGTCTTGGAAAAATACTTTTCTGTCCTTTACAAGTCCCTTTTTCCTAAAAACTTCCCAAACACACCCCCCCACCACCACACACACAGAGGCATACATACTCCTAGAAGGAGAGCTCTGAAGTAAATCAAGTCTTTCAGAACCAGACCAATAGAGAAATTGAATAAAAACTTGCTGCTGGCCGGGGATTTGGCTCAGTGGCACAAGCGTCTGTCTGGCAAGCATGAGGTTGTGAGTTCAATCCCTATTACCAAAAAAATGAATAAATAAAAAACAAACAAAGCAACCCTTGCTGTTCACAGATCTCAGTCTACACTCCCTACTTCCTAAGGAACAGGTAGAAAGGCTGAGGCAGTCAAAAAATGAAACTGTAATACAGGCTACTCTCAGCTTTTCTACTCCAAAACTTCTCTTCATAGCCTGGAACAGCAAGTCCTCTAGTGCTCAGCACGTTATCTCAGCCCTAAACACCATTCAAACAGAGAATTAAGGGCTCTCTTCCTTCCTTCCCATTCCTCAACCCACACACACTAGCTACTGAACAAGCTGGCTTTGCTCAACGGGCTCCCCCATCAACTCCACAGTACCGCCAGACCAGGCGAGAGACCCTAACTACTCATTAGACGGTTCCGGATCAGGCATCTGCAAATGATTAAATGAAATCACCTAGTCCCCTACCTACCAGCAAGGGTGATGCTACCCTCGTCTAACAGAAAAGGCAACTGATTCCTGCAAGGATTTTGACTTGCATTTAAACACCCCCTCTGATCTAGGCACACTGTTATATTGTGCACAGCACTCAAGGAGTAGCTGCTTGACTAAGGATATCACTGTGCTCTTAGGATAGGACTCAGTATTCCCAGTGACTGAGGGAGATGGGCTTTAAAAATGCCGAGCACTTCTGCTGTTTTTCAAATTCTTCTATCATTCTTCCAGTCACCTGTTGTTTGTTTGTTAGAAGCAGGAGTACCCACCACATGTTTCTTTCTTCCCAGACACAAATACACTATCCTGACCCAAAGACTTAGAAACAGAATGTTTTCTTCTATCAGCGAACGTGATTCTGCCCTTCAAAATGAAATTCTACCATTGTATTTCACCCTCCTAATCACACCCACTCCAACTCCCATGTGGGGGGAATCAATATTAAAAGCAACTAAAGATTTTCATTCTAATAGGGTGCAGTGAAGGCAGAGTCCAGGACTCTAAAAATTGCTTCATCCAAATGAGAACTTACACCACAGTACTTAAGCTGACAATACTGCCTTAAAGCAAAATCCTGGAGTGCGAATAGTCGAACATTTAACTCAACAATTCACGTGCACACTTCCAAGACAACCTACCCTCCTGGCCTCCAGCTGCTGCTTCTTTCCTGGCCCAAGAGGTGACTTGGCCCAGAAGAAGCCGATGACTGAGAAGAGGGCGGCCTGGGAGCCGCTCTGGGGGCGGCCGAAGAGGCCCCCGCTGCGGTAGCGACTCCGGTAGGACAGCACCAGGCCCAGCGACAGGAACACTACCACGCAGAGCAGGAGCTCTCTGACGGCCAGGGTCACGAAGTCCCCGCACTTCTTATAAAAGTAGGTGAAAGTGGCAATACCCAGAAAAGTCCACATGGCTGCAAGCGTCTTCTTTGGTGGCAACTTGTCACGGCTGCGACTTTTTTTCCTAATAGGGTTGTGGTGGCTAGAGAGGCACTGGCTCCCGAAGAACTGCACTAAACAATGCCACAGGACCTCGAAACAGGCGCGACCAGCACCCCAAGCGCCCGATTTCCGTAACAAAGCATCGAGAGGGCAGACAACAGGACCAGGAAACACAGGACGCGCACGCCGCCGGCTTTGCTGCTCAGAATGGTCGGCCGCGCGCTCCTCTCCCACAGCGTCTCGACAGCCTGATCGTGGCGACCCCCTGCAGTGCACAGCGGGAGTGGGCTCCGCGCCTCACCGTCCTGCCCTCCGCGAAGGATGGGCGGGGCTCATGCGGCGCCGACCACCGAGGCGACGCGGGCTCAAGGGTTCCCGACCTGGCGACCACCGCCCGCCCGGGGGAGGCCCGGCTGCCAGCTCCAACAAAGACGGCCTCAGCTCCCGCGAGTCTAGACTCCTCCGCCGATCCCGCTGCTAGTTCCCACGCGGCGTCCTCGCCCCGGGCGGCAGCAGCTAGCTCCTGGCGGCTCGCTCAAGGTCTCGCTCGCTGGCCGCCCTCCCAGCGCTGCGCCGCCGCAGTCGCCCAAGCAACCGTGGCACGCACACCCCGCGGCAGAGCCAACCTACGCCTTGCCGCCTGGGCGGGCCCGCTCCCGGTCCCGGGCCAGAGGCGGGGCTCGAGGCCAGTCCCGCCCCACCGTCCCCACTGAGGGCCAATGAAAATGCACATTGCGCGGTAGGCCGAGATGGCGCTATAGAGCGCTTGGCCAATCGCAGGCGGCGCAGTTCGGGGGCGCCTCCCGGAAAGGCGCTAGGGCGATGTTGCGTGGTCAGGGTGGGGCGGGCGCGGGCGGTTGGCGCGCGGTGGGAGGGGCCGGCGGGCCGGGCGCCTGCCTGAGGGGCGGGGCTTGCGAGGCCTCTTTTTGAGCGAGCCAGAGCGTGGGGGACGTGACCGTCAGGCGAGGGCCGGCGCCTGGGGCCTGCGGCGGGAGAGCCGCCTAGGCGCCCTGGGGTCGTGGAGCCTGGGCCGGCGAGCCGAGGTACGACGCAGGCGCACGCTGAGCTCCTGCTGCCCGGGAGGCGCCTCCCCGACGCTCGCCGGCCGAGGTCCCGCAGGTTAGCCCGGCCCGGTCCCCGGGCGCCCGCCCTCTCCTGCGGCCCTGAGCGCTCCCCTCCGGCCGCCACCCATATTCGTCGGAGGGAAGGCTCTGTCTGACGACGCCCTCATCACGCCTAGCTCGACGCTGTTCACGCTACTGCTTTCCACGGGTGTCCTCAGGCGAAGGACCGGAATAGATGAATGATCGTGAAGGATGGGCGGTGTGGAAGGAAGAGCAGGGCTTGATGTTAAGACCTGAACAGGACAAGTCCCGAGCTCCTCAGCCTTTGCAAGCAGAGGGCGGTTTCTTCGTGGATCCTAAGGGCCCTGGCAGCCTGTGCCTCACACATACTTCTGAAAATGTAGGGGTACAGAGCTTACCCCCGCTACTGCGTTTTATCCACTAGTATTTGTCAGGACGCTCACAAAGGGTCATATGACCCCCATGACTTTAACTTGATTTTATATAAAAGAATGATCGTGACGGGTGTGGAGCCACTCTATGGGGCTGGAACTCCGGGGAACCCCTGGAGATGGTGCGACCTTGGAGGTGGAAGGCCACTGGGTACAGACTCTTAAAGAGGATGTCAGGACACTGTGTGCTCCCTTGTCCACCCTCCTTCCAGCATCCTTCCCAGCAGTGGGCCAGCTGACCTGGAGCTGAAACTGTGAGGCAAAATCACCCTTTCCTCCTTTTAAATTGCATATCTCAGGTATTCTGTCACAGCAGTGGAACACTAACTGAAGTAGTTTGACTACTATCACCTACAGCTTGTAGGTGATAAAGCCGAAAGTTAAACTCGTCTCTACATCTTGTATCTCTCCCCCATGCTCCTTGTTGAGACAGCAGCTTGCTAAATTGCTCAGGTGAGGCTTCAACTAGTGATTCTCATGCCCCAGTCTCCTATAGTGCTATGTTACCAGGCCTGGGTTCCCAATACTCTGTCAATAAATGTCCTTTCTCTGTTACAAAACCAAGCCTTCCCTACAATATTCACTAGTATCAAAAATTTTGTTTGAAATATACATCAAAGTAAAAAGGACTGGAAAATCAGTTCAATGAGCTGTTCATTGGTATCTTATTACTAAAATCATGAGGCTTGAGTAGATTCTAGGGGAAACACTATCACTGGAAGGGTCATTTCTTATGACGAGGATTTTTAAATTATTATTGAGGTAAGTTTTTAATCTCTTGAAAACAATGTTCTTCATGTGTTTTTGTCTCTGCAAAATGATCTTTCCAGTGACAAGGCCTCAATATTTGGGGCAGTTGCCGGTCCACTTTTGAATTTGGAACAATAAAAAGAGCGTCTGCAGTTGGTAACATGAAGCATACCCTGAATGTCTGCATTATCTGAACTGAATTAAATGTTATTAAGTCTGTTCAGCTTTTAAATCTTGCTTGACATTGCTCATTTAAAGACAAATCTCTCACTGAGGCCTGAAGTGAAAACTATGAATTAGGACAGCACATCAGCCACCTTCTGGCAGAAAGTAACAATGCTGTAGAGTAGGTGGATGAGAAATACCCCATCACCCTGATGACAGTAAACCTACCTATATGCTGACCCCATTCTTAGAGCTTTTCAGACATTAACTGATTTTGCCCTGTCCCAACACTATCAGGTGGGTACTATATCAACGGAATGCACAAAAACTAGTAAGCACACAGCAAGCAGCAGAGCTTGAATCTTGGCAGAAAAATCTAGCTGAGAAACCTAGGAATGTTTGACTTTATTTTTTATATCTACACAAAAATCTAGTTATGTTAAACAAAAAACGCACCTGCTTTCCCTGCTCCCCTGCTTAAACCTCTGCTGTCTTCGCTGACCTACTTTGGCATACCAGGCACTGCCCTCTCCCTGACCACCATTCTCAGTGCTGAGAAAAAGCCCATGAACATGCCCATTTTATCCACCGTCAGTTCCTTTAAGACCCAGACTGATTATCATCAGCGATTCCTTCAAGTGTTTGTAATTCCCCCTCCTTTAGGCATTCATCAAACTATGCTATAATTGTCTAGGCTTTTCCAGAAGATTCAGGGCATTGAGCACTTGTACATGTTACATGGTAAACATCTCACAATGTTCAATATAATCTTTCCTGTCCTCATTTCTTTCCCCTACCCTTTCTTTTTTTAGTAGCACAATAGGCCATTCCTCTTTTAGTAATGTTTTTATTTGTAACATTAGATTAAAATGCTCGGAACTTTCTTGTTTGACTTCCCATCCCTCAGCACTGACCCATCTTTTGGAAATTCTATTCACGAGTGATAGACAATTGTATTAATTTAGAACATGGTGTATTTTCCTTTCCTCCTTGCCAACTGCTTATGGAGACATAGCCAGACTATCCACCAGCCCACACGATGGGATAAGTATGCATCCGATGTATGCTTTGTGTTAGGCATGGTGCTTGGCTATTCAAAGTGATGCACAAAGCGAAACAGTACCTGTCATTTTGGAGGTAAGAGTTTGATGTGAAGATAGCAGTCAACAAAATGAGTAAAGACGTCATCTGTCAAAAAAAAAAAAAAGCAAGATGCTACTATATAAGGTAAAAGCTATAAACTCAACAATGGATTAAGGAGGACTACCGGAAGGAATTACGTGTAAACTGAGATTTTACATATTAGGAGTAACCAGTAGAATCTCAGTCACTGTTAGTGACCACACATCCCGTTTCCATATTCCCCACAGTGCAGTTTTGCCCTTACTACAGTACTGGGGCAAGCAACTAGCGAACTTCGCTTCCACTGTTGAGCGGAAGGATGAGAGTTCTCTTCTAAGCAGGCTAATTTGTGACTTTTCAAAAGTCTCCAAGGAGCCTGTTCCTCACCATCAGTTTTAAAAACTGAAAGATACTCAATAATCTGCCACACCTAAATTTAATTTAGTGCCCTAGATTCAAGATGCACTTCATTTCTCAGTCAGGGGGAAACACTAAAATAGCCCTTCTCGGCCATTCTTCCTGTTGGTCCTGCCAGGTTGGAGGCCCACAGCGCCCACATTCCGCCAACAATGCACTGTGGATTCTGCGACACCAAACTAGATCCTCAGCTAGCTCTGCATTGTAGGGCCTAGCACAGCACTGAACAGGCACTGGCAAGCTAACCACCTTCTCTGTAAGACTAGTGCCTGAGAGTGTAGCAGCTCCAGGGAGAAATAATGGACCTGATTAACAGCATTATTTCCAAGACAAGCCCACAGTTTCTCTAAACTGCAGAGTGACTCCTTCACAGTAGGACAGTTAGGGAAGAAACCCACTTCAGTGCCCACCACATTTCCAGAGAGAGTTCAGTCTGGTGCCACTTTGGGAAGGGGTTGACTGCGAAGGACTAAGCTGAAGAACAGCTGCACTACTGCCTCTGAGTGCCACCCAACCACAGGGCCTGGATGCCAGTCATAAGAGACAGAGGTGGAGAGGTTAAAGGCTACACACAGATCCCGTGAAAAGCTCCAGCTCTGACAGAAGGGCATGGGGCCCTGTACCCCATGGTGGGAGGCTAGTCTTGCCAGGTGTGGCTTTCAAAGGAGTCTGGACCTGAAGGTGATGGCACTGAATCCAGCTGTCTGCCTGGGCCTCTCCCTCACCCACCCCCACACACACTTCTTCCATCCAGCGGAGACCAGAGCTCTGATTGGCTTCCCATGAGCCAATGGGCCTGTGTCCCAGCATGGACGGCTGCCTCAGTGTGGAGTTCCCAGCACAAGGGTGTCAGACATGGAAGGCCGTGGAGCTGGGCAGGAACAGTGTGACTTGCTGGACTGTGGGCTTGACAGGAAGCCACTTATCTGAATATATAAAGGAATTTTCTGATCCGTTTTAAATTGAGTTTTTTTTAAATTGAGTTTTGGTATTCAGGTTTCCTCTTTTTTTCTTTGGCCTTTCTCGAACGCTCTAGCTCCCTTGCTCCCCACTCACCTCCCCTTTTCCCTTTTTTC